CTTCCTTCCTTCCATCTCCTTCCCTTCCCCTTCAATCTCTCCTTCCTTCCTTTCCCCCTCAATCTCCTTCCTTCTCCATCTCCTTCCTTTCCCCTTCAATCTTCCTTCCTTCCTTCCATCTCCATCCCTTCCCCTTCAATCTTCCTTCCTTCCATCTCCTTCCCTTCCCCTTCAATCTCTCCTTCCTTCCTTTCCCCCTCAATCTCCTTCCTTCTCCATCTCCTTCCTTTCCCCTTCAATCTTCCTTCCTTCCTTCCATCTCCATCTCTTCCCCTTCAATCTTTCTCCTTCCTTCCTTTCCCCTCCAATCTTCCTTCCTTCTTTTCCCCTTCAATCTCCTTCCTTCTCCATCTCCTTCCTTTCATCTTCAATCTTCCTTCCTTCCTTCTATCTCCATCCCTTCCCCTTCAATCTCTCTCTCCTTCTTTCCTTTCCCCTTCAATCTTCCTTCCTTCCTTCCTTCTATCTCCATCCCTTCCCCTTCAATCTCTCTCCTTCTTTCCTTTCCCCTTCAATCTTCCTTCCTTCCTTCCTTCCTTCCATCTCAATCCCTTTCCCTTCAATTCTCTCCTTCCTTCCTTCCATCTCCATCCCTTTCCCTTCAATCTTTCTCCTTCCTTCCCCTTCAATCTTCCTTCCTTCCTTCCATCTCCATCCCTTCCCCTTCAATCTCTCTCTCTCTCTCTCTCCTTCCTTCCTTCCTTTCCCCTTCAATCTCCTTCCTTCTCAATCTCCTTCCTTTCCCCTTCAATCTTCCTTCCTTCCTTTCCCCTTCAATCTCCTTCCTTTCCCCTTCAATCTTCCTTCTTTCCTTCCCTCCCTCCCAACATTTTTGAGCAAGGAAGAGTAAGCTTCTCCAGCAAGTATTGCTATATTGTTTTTGTGATTAATCACTATGCTTTAATTATGTTCACTTTGTAACAATGAAAATACACCCTGCATATCAGATATTTACATTAATATTCATAACAGTAGCAAAATTACAGTTATGAAGTAGCAACAAAAATAATTTTATGGTTGGGGGTCACCGCAACTTGAGGAACTGTATTAAGGGGTCGCGGCATTAGAAAGGTTGAGAACCACTGGACCAAGTCAAAAGATTAATTACATAGCTCAGGGGTCCCCAACCTCCAGTCTGTGGACCAGTACCGGGCTACAACATGCCAGCAACCGGTCTGCACAAACAAGTAAAGCCCATCCATGGGATGCAGGCAGCACACAAAACTACGCATTCTCCGGTTCACTGAAAAACCTCTCTCCATGTAAACGGTCCCTGGTGCCCAAAAGGTTGGGGACCTCTGACATAGCTGACTCTGGATGGTCAGGTAGAAAATCTTCAGGATGAAGACTCATAAAAAGGATGCACGATCGTATTGTGAATTCTGTTCATAAGCAAGTAATTTGTATTCTTTTAATTTAGAATACGATGTAATTCTTCTCATATGCTCAGTCATTATTCTTCATAGTAAAGAATGGAGTGCCATAACTTCTAATCCTGAAGTGTCACCAAACAGGTTTGAATTCAAATGGCAAAGAAAATCTCTTTGGAAAAGGTACTGTACATATGTGTAACAGCCATTCTTATTAAAGATCAGACAACTCATGAGCCCTGGGGTCATCCTTTCAGAGATATTTCCTTACCAGATTCATCAATCCCTTTAGCAATTATAGAATCATGATATATTCAGAGATGTACCTGCACTGAAAATAGCCCAAGCTGAACTGTATTACGCAAACATAAGATAGAAAATGTCATAAACCGTTTTCTGTTTATGTTTAGCTCATGCTGAGTTATATAAGAAAGTCAAACATCAGCACAGGAAATGTTTAATGACATTTTTATTATGTTATAAACTGCTTTATGATAAAGTTTATGTTATGCTTTATAAAATTTGCCAAATTTGCTTTCCATGGGAGTCATGTATCCTGGATTTTGGACTGATTCAGTAAGTTAGCCCATTTGAATTATCTTAGTTCAAAAAGATTTTGCCCTATGGTACATGGTTTGATTTGTCTGCATGATTAAATGTACAATAATGGTTCCCTATGACTATGAATGAACATCTTCCCATTGTATTTTGTATTACCTGACATTTTCAAAGGCAGCTATATAGAATCAATATTATAGTAATGAAGGCTATACATTTAAGGATTTTAAAGGCATCGTTGCTTCTTTTTTTCCCATCATTCACAAACATTATAGATAAGTTTCAGAAAGTTTCAATAAACATGGACAAAAAAATCTCCACAGTGGCTTGTATAACTCAAGCCTCTATACACTACTTGATTTTACAAATATACACATATGCAATTAAAATTGCTCAGAATTTGCACATCACCAATGAACACCAACCAGACTAAGCATGCCAGTGATTCAGATATTTAAAAAAACGTTTCCTGCTATTGCAACTTCCTTTCTAAACTAATAATTAAAAGATGCTTAAGATCACAAAATTGCTGTTAAAATATGATCAAAATATGACTAGCAAGGATAAAGTTTGTAGTCTTCATCATATGTGTGTAGCTTGCATGTGTGTATGTGTGTGTATAATAAAACATGATACCTTACATAAATGAACAAAACCATTGAAAAAAATTGAGCCAAAAGTTTGTCAAAGGTAGAAACATAATTATCTACTATTTTGAGGCAGGAAACCAACCAAACCTTTAAGCAACATAAAGGTCTAAATGTGATTTAAAAAGCAAACAAATTCAACTCAATTCTCTACATTTGGAAAACAAAAAGAATCTCGGCCTTACCTCATGCATGACCTCTATTTATCATGAGTCAGTTAACCCTCTACAAAACATTGTGTCTTCTCAGCTATCAAAGTGTACCCATTCCTATTCTATATTTCTGGTCTTCTGAAACTGTTTGATACGCAAATACAAAGAATTATTCCCCATTCACGCAATATAAAATAGGCAGTCACATTTATTCTGGAATTTAAGGAATTTACAACTGGTTTAATACAACATAGTACGTGTTTTCCTCAAATGCATAATAAGAGTAGAACAGCCTTGTTTATTCAAATGATCTTTATTCTAACTCTCTCATTTGTGGCTGAACAATCCCGCCCACATACACATTCCCAAAATTACACCACAACCTCCTGGCAGAAATTCTAAATTCCTAGTGGATGTCAATTATACATCAAGGAGCCAAGAACAGAGGAAGTCACTCATATACTAAAATTATGTGTAAATTATAAATGAGATATCACAGTTGATCCTTTTTTTATAGTCTTCATGAGCAGCATTCAATATAAACATGCCCTTCTATGAGTTCCTCTTTCTACTAAACACTTCTTAAAAAATTTTACTTGACAAAAGTTCAGGTACTTCGAGTTTAGCTCAATTTTTTTAAAAAAAAAAAAATAGGTAAGGACTGTTGTAATATCCCCTGCTGATGTAATCTTTTCAGTTTAACACTTGTCATAATCTCTCTGAAAGTCAAACTTGATTTAAAAATAGCTGAGTTCCATATAAGTCAGGGGTGTCAAACTGCCGGCCCATGGGCCGGTTTCATCATACTGAAGCCGCACCAACCCCATTGCCAGCAATGCAAAAAGAGTCACGATATGTCGTGACACGTCACGTGACATGGCGAGTTTGATATCTGTGATATAAGTGGATTGACAGAAAGCTTTCTTTTCACAATACATATACTGGAAACAACAAACTCCTTCCATAATCCAAATAGATGTGTTATGTTTATGACAGTTAAAAAGGGGAATGGTTTATTCTTAAGCACTAACACACAATCTTTTTTAAAACCTCAGGTAAGATTTGTCAATACTGTAGAATATTGTATTTATTCAAAATATTATAAAGTATAGATTCTAGTAAGCATGTTTCAAAGTACAGTTGTAGTTTCTGTTCTGGAAAAAAAATAATTTAATGATTAGTTTTTGGTAGGACCTTGTCATTGGAAATAAAGCAGTGATTAGAATGTTAATAAGGATTGGGGAGATTAAGATTTAAATTTGCACAACTGATCTGAAAATCAGTTGCTGTCTTTCAATCCAACTTACAATGCAGGTTTTTTTGTGAGGACAATATGGGGACTCATTTACCAGCTTTTGCTCTTGGAAAAAAGCAGGATATAAATTTAATAAATATATGTTATTTTACAGCTGCAATCTTGTAATTCCTAAACTGGTTATTCAAAGGAAAGCTCTGTCTTCACCATTCTTTCAGGAAAATTCTGAGATCGTTTCCTTGGAAATAAATGATTCCCTTTCCAAAAATGAAATATTTCTCAAAATCACTCCCTTAGCTGTAGGTTTTAGTTTTATATATTTCTTAGGGAACATACTGAATTCTTACTATGAACCAATAACCACGAACAATCTGCAGCATTACAGATGAACATGTTATTTTATCATCTCCAACAAAATTTAAATAAAAAAAGAGGAAGTCATTACAGTAAAGGGAACGTCGAGTCCTTACGGGCGCTGCAATTCCTGCAAGCAGCGCCCGTTTTCCAGCCAAGTTAATACCTGTGTAACGGGACATTTTAAAAATGTTTTGATTTACTAAAGGCCGTTTAAAAAGCAAGAGAGAACTAATTACGCTCTGAAGAATCCCCAACCACGTTTTGTGTCATCAACCTTTTAAGGGGGGATGGCAATTATGACGGATTATTACTGACGCTGAGGGGAATGTGACCTCATGCGCAGAATACCGCATTCTGAGAAGGATGAGCGATGACGCGTCTTTAGTAAAGGCAGCAGAGGACAGCAGCCGTACCTGCAGCGCTTCTCGATTACGTGACAGAACCTTCACGTATCCGGAGTCCTCCACCAGCAAATCTATCGTCGGCCCCCGCTCTTCCCCTCCCCCCCCCCGTGAAAAGAGCCCGCAGCTCTGAGTCGGTTTCTTTACTACCTGAGATAGAAACTGATTGGCTGAGTCAGTCCCGCCCTCGGGAATGACGCAGAAAATCTCCGTTTGATAGGCAGGTAAGGCTCGGACGCGGCCATGTTGGGAGCGGAAGTGAAATGAGTAATAGCCCCAGCCGCGGGACAAGTCAGGCGCTGAGGTTAGATTTACCGAGCGACGGAGGCTTCCAGTTGAACGTCTGCTCCTACGCCGGCGTGGGTATCCTTGCCTCATCCGGAGGGGTAAGAACCGCGTTTCCGGCAGTCTCCTCCCCTTGCCGGGGAGGAAAATAACGAAGAAGGATCCTATGTCTCAGTGGTATTCCTGAGGGGCGGCAAGAGACAACGGCGGCGGGAGCGTGAAGGTAAAGAAGAAAGATGCCGTTGGCACAGTTGGCGGACCCCTGGCAGAAAATGGCTGTGGAGAGTACGGCCGAGAGCGGCAGCAGCGTCGAGGTAAGCTGGTAGGGCATTCCCACATCTGCAGGGCTCGGCTGGGCAACCGCGTGGAATCCCGCCTGCACCCCCCCTTCGCCGCTGCCGGGCAAGATCAGGAGGAAGTGGGGGGAGAACCAGGAGGAAAAGATCGCTCACCACCTCAGCAAAGGAGCGTCACTGCCCCGTTGCCGCCTTTTGTCCGTCTTTCATTGAGAGGGCTGGGAAGAGTCAGGCGCGCTCGATTTCCTCGTTTTATTTCTTTTAGAGGCGCTGGGCGGAAGCCGGGAAGTAAAAGGCTTCCTGCTTGCCTTGCCTCTTTGACTCGGACTCCCTTAATCCTGTGCCCCCAGAGTATGTTGGGCTGCAAATCTTATTACTTCCAACCAGGGTGGTGGAGGATAATGGAAGCCATTTATCTAGCAAAGCTGTTTGACATCAAGATTGCCTCATATCACCACCTCAAATCGATTTTTCAGTCAGTTTGTGACCATCTTTGTCCATCTTGAAACATTTCACTGACTAAATTAGTTGTTGGATTCTTACTTGTTCGCTTACAGCCCCCCTTCCTATAACCCTAGAGTACTATACACATACAGCAGACTTTTGGAATAAAACTTTATAATATATATCCTTACTTCTTTGCAGCAAACAAATACGCTTTTGGAAGTGTTTACCCTATTATCCTTTTACACTAACTTCCTTTGCAAACAAATAAAAAAGGGTTTTCCAAATAACTTTTTGTGTGTAGGGCTAACAGAATGCTGTTCCTTCTAAATAATGGAACATGTATGATTTGGATTGTATGCCTTTTGTTTCCATTTGCCTTCACATGCAGACATTCTCATGTTAATTTAATAACACACTTTTTATTATTTGACAGTTTCCTGTTTTTCACAATAGTGTCTTCCATGATAAAGGAGCCTTTCGAAATAAATATTTGTATTGAGTCTCTTTTATAGAGATAGTGTTTAAAGCAATCTCTTCTTTGTGCTTTTTACAGTTTATGGAGAGAAATGTTACACCCACCTTTAACACTACAGAAAGATAACTTTCTGTGTGAACTTTTTAGTGGTTGTTATATATGAATTTGCTAATGCAGAATTATGAAGAGTGTAAACATATCTTCCTCATTTTGTCATCTTGAAGGGTGGGGTTGGGGCTGCCAGATTGTCAGCCTTGGTAATGCACAGTTGAAGGACTCCTGCCGCTTTTGTTCCCTTTGGTGGTGTCTGGTTACTTTCACATTATTCCTCCCTCCATTTCCTCTCATTTTGCCCAAATGCTTAACTTCCTCCTAGTCTTAAGAAGAAAGAAGGAAGTTTGCAGAGAGGTTACATTTTTTTTATTCTTTTTTGTAAAAGGAAAGTCTGCACATCTTGCTTCTGCTGTAAGAAAGACACCAGCAGAGGAACTGGTGATGATTTGTTTCCACGTTTTTCTCACAGTTCATATATTTCAAGAAGCAGTTTATGCTAGTTATTCAAAATAGTTTATCCAAAATAGTTTTGGCTAAATTTAGATTGTCTGGCTTAATAAATCAAAAAGTAATCCTGAAGTTTTAGATTACATGCTTACAAGGTTCACTTTCTTATTTTTGCGGATAATGGTAATTATTGTGTCTACTTTATTTAAATGTATATAATTAAGTTTTAATTTGTTTCCCACTCATAATCCATTTTATATTAGATTTTATGTTTTACCTTATGAATGTGTTAGTGATTTTTTTAAAAAAATTCTATAGATGACAACATAATTACCATTTTACGTGTGTGTGTGTGTGTGTGTGTGTTTGTCACTGGAGAATACAATTCCATGTTTATGATAGTTTTTTCACAATAGTATTCAATGTATCAGTAACTAAAATGAGAAAGAAGAGAACCTAGTGCAGTGGTTGTCAACCTGTGGGTCGGGACCCCATTTGGGGTCGAACGACCATTTCACAGGGCTCGCCAAACAATGCAGTCTGCCATTTTTCCCCCTTTTCCTTAGCTGTGCTACTCCCTTTTATTCTATTGGCTTTTGAAAGCCAATAGAATAGACTCTCTTGAATAGAGTCTAATTCTATTGGCTTTCAAAAGCCAATAGGAATTGTCCAGGCTGTCTCTGCCCTGCTGAGCCCGCCAAAAGTCCCATTCTGCAAACGGTGCTGCACCAGTTGAGTAGTCCTCGACTTACGACCGGTTGAGTAGTCCTTGACTTACGACCGGTTGGGGGTCGCGGCATTAAAAAGGTTGAGAACCACTGACCTAGTGGATAAGATATAATTGAGAAAATAATAAAACCAGATGAAATATAGTTAGATATTAAGTAGATAATTAAATTTTATGCAATATTTGATTCAGATACATATCTTAATCAAATTTTTAAAAATGTGTTTGGTGATTAAATCTTTTGAAATTAAGTTTGATCACTCGTTTCTAACTCATATCTCCTATAGGATGATGCATAGAGGATGAGCATTGCTTTTATTCCAGCTGTCTGATTGTATGCCATCAAGTCAATGTCAACTTTTAATGACTATATAGATTTTCTCCTGGACAATCTGTTCCCCACCTGTCCTCCAGAACTTTCAACAGTGCACCCATTGTGGCTATAGTTCAGTCCATCCATCTTGCTACCGATTACACACCTTTCCCAGTGCACAGAAATCCAAAATAACTACTTTTGACATTAGACTGAAAAAATGGAAATGCCAGCCAATTTCAGGCATATAGTTCAGAAGCCCAAGTATGTGATTTAGAAACACTACTTATGCTTAGATAAGTTTAAGGTGAACTCAAACCTGTGATCAAAAGGCTGCAAAATAGGGCAGACCCATACCTTATATGCCAGAGAATTTGTGTGATGTACTGTCATCTTGAAATGTTTAAGGAAGTAAATCTTTTTTTTTTCTTAGTACTCTAGAGCACAGGTCCCCAATCTTTCCCGTTTGGCAGCCCGGGGTGAAAGGGAGAAACAAGAAAATTTATGCCCATGTGTACATGTGCACAAACAGGCCTGGTACACCCCGAGGGCGCTAGCACCCACACACATAGAGAACTGCATGCACCCGCAGCACACTAGTGCCTACATGATGCTGATGGTGACGCTAGCCTCCCATGCAACGCTGGCAGAGGTGCTAGTTCCTCCCGCACATGTGCAGACAGGACCAGTAGCGCCCTTGTGACAACTAGCCTCCTTGTGGCATCACTAATGCGCATTCAACAGCCATTCCAACAGCCCAGTGGCTACTAGGCCACGGACCAGTACCCCATAGGTTGGGGAACCCTGCTCTAGAGGCATAGAGAATGAACTGAGTCATTATTCTTAAACAGATATTATTAATGTTTACATCTTATAGTACTTGAAATACCAATATTTCAAAACATTGGGAGAAAGCAAGACTTGTTTAGTTTGTCTAAAGCTTTTCTATTTTTTTAATAATTATTGTTTTACAAAACTATGTTTTATATTTTTTTAGATAAATCAAAGGCAAAATTGGTTTTGGTTAATCCTTGGAAATATTAATATAATTATTTATATTGATAGTCCTCAATTATTGACTGCTTTGGACAGTGAACATTCAGTTACAGCAGTAATGAAAAAGTAACTTTGTGACCAATGCCCACATTTTTGTCCTCAGCATCTCTCTTTCAATCATGTGTTTCCTATTACAATCAGTTAGTACATATTACCTTGTGCCTGACCAATTGTGTGCCTGCTTACTCTCTTGTAATCCCTTCCTCTGCAATGAATGTAAATAGAAGCATCAATTATCTTCTTGCTAATTATCCTAGCACTGGGTAAGCATTCCAGAGGGTGAGGAAGTGAGGTTAAAGGACCATAATATTTGCCCTTTTACCCTAGGCTTCCTCATAAATTAAGTTCTGGAAACCTTTCTTACTGTTTAGGCTCACCTAACCATTTGGGATCATATCCTTCTGACAAACCAAAGGAAAGCTTAAGTAAAATCAAAAGCACAGTTGTTGTCATATGATTTTTATTTACCATGAGTTTGTGCCCACCCACCCACAACAGTTTACAGGGCTTCCCAAGGTAGACGCTTGGGAGTCAAGGGCAGTGCCAGCAGAATATGCCTTCAGGCAAGAGAAGAGTGGCGTGAACAGGCGGGGGCAGCTGAAAGACCGGGTGGCACAAATATCTGACAGGTGGAGGAAGGCGGCAGGGGAGGCTTGTGCCTCCTGATCCTTTGGCTGCCCCTGCCTGTCTGCGCTGCTATTCTCCTTGCCTGAAGGTGCTTTCTGCCAGTACTGCTCTCACCTCGTGAGCGTCTGCCCTGGGAAGCCCTGTAAGCCATTGCAGCAGCGGGCAAGCAGACGGTGGGAGGGTGCAGGTGAGCGGCTTCGGCGGGTGTCTGGCAGGTAGAGGGAAGCGATGGGAGGCTTGTACCACCCAGTCATGGCACAAGCCACAAGAGAGTTGACGGAGAAGGAGGCAGATGCTGCTGCTGCCGGGAAGGTGATCTGCAGGGCAAAGCGGGGGTGGCCAGAACTGAAGAAAGCCCCTCCAGCAGCAGATGCGGCTGTTGCACAGTGGCGGAGAATCCTTTCGCGTAGCTCCAAAACACCGAAGGGAGAGCTGGTAAGGCGACCATGCCTCCCTCGCCCATCCTCCGTAGCATGGCAGTCCGGCTCGGGAGGGGAGTGAAAGGGAAGAGGCAGGCAGGCAGCCAGGTCATTGAACGGCAGGGGGAGGTCGCCAAGCGTGGAGTGGCCTGCCTGCAGGGGCCCTGAGGTAAGTGGGTGCAGGACGCGTGGGGCAGCTCCACCCCCCACACCTGCCTCACCTCACCTTGTGGCGGCAGCACCAGTGCAACGTGCACTGTCCTGCCCCACTGCTGCAGCAAGCAACCAGACAGTGGGGCTTATTTTGGGGTAGGGCTTATATTAGGTGCATGCCAAAAAATCAGGCAAGGGCTTATTTTCTGGGGGGTCTTATTTTCAAGGAAACACAGTAGTGACTGCTTTGCTTAGTGACCAAGTCACTAGAACCAATTGCAGTCCCTAAATGAGGACTATCTGCACTTCAGTTACTCTAATATAGTTCCTCCAATAACTCTTCTTTAAATTATGATTTTTGTAGAATGGTCAACAAATTATGGATGAGCCTATGGGAGAAGAAGAACTAAATCCACAAACAGTAAGTAGAATATGAAGATTCACACCTTATTTAGATAATTTCAATCCATGACTGAGAGGAACTTCTAAGATTTAAAAATAAAGATTCTTATATAAACTATTTAGTAACATGTCAGTAAAATTCATTAGTTCAATTCTTAATGAGACAAATACATTGATATACTAAGCCTGATGTAAAACTTTCTATAATTGTTCCGCATTTTTATAGCAAGTGTGACAATAGTAGGACACTGAAAGGTTTATTAACATGATAAAGCAGAGAATTAGTAAATGAAATTAACATGTATATAATCTCTAGTACATCAAACTTCAAAATATTCAAAATAATAATGGGATTAATATAACTAAAAGTATTTCACTGAGTTTGTATCTTATGATATATGATTGTATTTTATGATTATAATCATGATTTATCACTTGTTGCCTGTATATACACTTGAGAGCTTATGCACCAGAGAAAAATTCCTTGTGTGTCCAATCACACTCAGCCAATACAGAATTCTATTCTGTTTTGTTCCATCCTAAAATATTGATATATTCGATGCCTCAAGGAATATTTAGTAAGGATTGGCTGTGATCATCTTGCTCTTGGAGATGCAATTAAGAAATTTCAATATTAACTCATAACCTGGAGTTATCTTCTATTATCATGTTTGGGGCTGAAATCAACAGCATTGGTAGACAAACAATTTTGGATCAATTGTTGTGAATTTAACATACAATGTTCTTCTTGGCAGTATTCTTGGTGTTTAGAATTATGGGCTTTTGAGGCATTGGAAGTTTTCCAATAAAATGGTGTGTTGTTGATATGTATTACCTGTGAACATCCATATTTGTTATTTTTGACCAAGGAACAAGACTTTCTGCTACTATAATCAATTTTTTCGGAATTGTTTTACTTAACATAATTTTCCAGGATCTTTCTTCCCTTTTTATTATCATGATTATTAATTTTAAAATTGCTTTATAATACAGTTGCATATATTTGTACTTTTATAAATTAGTTTGTTATAAAACTTTTGAAAGGGGAATTGGAACAACCTAGTTTTGGTGAGGTTCGGATGTTTCAATCTAAAAATGTTGTGCACACCTCCATAAAACATAATTTTTTTTAATGTGGTACAAACTCCTGTGCTGTAACTATTTTTTAAGGAATATGTGATTGTTATTAAAATCCTCTCTTTTTAGTATGCATCATGCAATTATCCAATAAGTCTACACTGTTCTATTTTCCCATATTTTCTCACCCTGAAAATCCTTAAAGATGGTTCATTTATGTACAAGGAGTCCTCAGCTTACAACCACAATTGAGCCCAAAATTTCTGTTGCTAAGTGAGATTTGCCCCATTTTATGACCTTTCTTGCCACAGTTGTTAAGTGAATCGATATAGTTGTATAGCTAGTAACACGGTTGTTAAGTGAATTTGGCTTCCCCATTGACTTTGCTTGTCAAAAGGTAACAAGTACATTTATTAATGACTGGAAACCCTTTATGGATTTTTTGCTGGCAATGGAAAAAATCAGTTGTTGATTTATGGATTCGATGCTTAGAACGGGGAAAATATGGAAAGAATGAGATTATGACATAACCTTAAAGGGGGAGGGTTGATGTTAAATTTATAACTGCTGTAAAGAAGGTCAAGCTGATCTTTTATATAAATTCTTTATTATTTTTTCTTTCCTTCATTTACATTTTAACATCCACTTGCACTTTTTCTTTCCTTTTAATTTATATTGTATGTTTTCTTTTTATTATAGTATAATATCTCCTAACAAACATTTTTTTAAAAATGACATGAACTCCCCTTATTATATTGAACCAATTTTATTTTATTTTCTAGGAAGAAGGCAATATTAAAGAGATTGCAATAACATATCATGTCAAAGAAGGGCATGAAAAAGCAGATCCTTCACAATTTGAACTCCTTAAAGTACTAGGCCAGGGATCTTTTGGAAAGGTAAGAGAGACTTTTGATCTGTTAAAAGCTACCATAGTATTTACCTCAACCTATAGTAATCAGAATTCCCTAAATGAATATCTAGTTCTTAAATTCCATCTACCAAATCTTCCTTTAGGTTCTTTAATTGTCTCCTAGTTTTCTGCCCAAGCTCAGATTTAAATATCTGAGAATGATTGTTCACTAATTATGAATGGTGAACAATCTAAACTTAGTATACTTCCTCACAATTTTCCATGGTTGAATTAATATAAAAACTTGTTTCATTAATAAAACTCTGCAATACTTTAGATTCTGGTTCAGAGTGCTTTGGCACATACAGGACCATGAATGTAGCACCTGTCTGCAAATCCTCAAAGCAACCACATCATTTCCCAAGATCCAGCTGCCATAACATCATGGAAAGAGATATCACTACTTTTAAGAGTCACAAACAAAGTTACTTTCATTTTCCTAAATTCTTCAAAGGACCTTTTCAGAATCTAATCAAAGTACTAAATAGACTAACTGTGAAGTGGGCAAGACTTTGTTTTAGACCAGAAGCATATAAAACATTTGGAGAACTTTACATTTGAATAATATTTGGTATGTGCTGATCAGCCATACTCCTCTTATTTGAGTCAGAGGGTTTTTCATAATCTATTCCCCTGCAAGCTGCAGAGTTGAAACCAATATTAATACATTTTGCATGTGTGTACCAAATTGTTAAAAGGGCTGCTTTGTGCAAGTTGATGTAGCTGCTTTGGAATCTGCTCCCACCTGTTTTTGCAAGTGATATACATGCACAACTTCATCATTTTTCCCACTGAAGTTAAGTAGGTATACAAGCATATGCACATACTGTATAGACAGCTAGGAGCAACTTCTGATGCTGCAAATTCTTACATTTACTGTAAGGATTCAGAAGGAGGTACTTTGTAAATGCCCCATTCACTTTTACATTTTTTAAAGCTTTGCAGAGTCCTACTTTTTATATTGTTGGCTTATTCAACTGTTTATCACAATAACGTTGTGTTTGACATTAAAAAGGCTTTACTTGTGCTTGCTACAGGTATTTCTTGTGAAAAAAATCTCAGGACCTGATGCCAAACAGCTGTATGCAATGAAAGTGCTTAAAAAAGCAACATTGAAAGGTAAGTTATGCAACCTATAGATGTTTTAAAGAAAAAGTTGCTTTTTCACCATGGTTGTCACTGTGAACAGTCACTGTACAAGGGAGTTGCTAAGTGCGGACTATTTGTATTCAGGCAGAAGTTAATGAAGGTTGTCACGCTGCTGCTATGCCAAATATTCAATTGCTTAATAATTTATTTTACATATAAGTTGCTGGATTGTGGGGGTAGAAATATAGTAAAATTAGTATTTCCCTGATCACCTATTTGTATTTGTAATTCAATGCTTTTATGGAGAGGTTAGACTAGTGATGGCCAATATTTCTGAAGAACAATCCTGAAATTATTAAAGTGATGATTATAAGATAAGATAAAATAAGATAATCTTTATTATCATTTTTATACTGTAGACACAATGGCACACATCAAAAATGAAATTTAGTTGCCTGTTCTCAAAGTGAAACACATACATGAACAACATACTATGAACAACATATGTATAAACCTACATCCCTACATATACGTAGCAAATAAATATTAAATATTGTCCATCTTGAATATATAACGGAAGGAGGAAGCTTGAGAGTTCGCAAGGTTAATGCTGTATGGAATGAAACTGGCTGAATCTGGATGTTCTGCTTCGGATACCACAAAGCCTCCTCCTAGAAGGTAACAAGGAAAACAGGTCGTGAAGAGGATGTGTAGTGTCATTGTTGAGCGACCAAGTCAGCCTACTCGTTAGACGCACACCCAGGAATTTGATGCTGGTAACATCTCCACAGGTGAATCATTTATGCACAGAGAAGTGTGGCTGTGCCTGCCTTTTCTGAAATCAACAATGATCTCTTTGGTTTTTCCGGTATTTAAAACTAGGCTGTTTTCCTTACACCAGTTCACCAACCCTTCAGCCTCCTTGCGGTAAGCTTCTACCTTGTCATCCTGAATAAGGCCCACTACTGTTATATCATCTGCGAACTTCACAATATGGTTGGTGGCAAACCTAGCACAACAGTCATAGGTCAAGAGGGTGAACAGCAGCGGACTTAAGATGCAGCCTCAGGAGAACCTGTGCTCAAAAAAATGGTATTAGAGGTATTTGTTCCAACTCGCACAAATTGGGGCCTGTTAGTAAGAAAATCAAGAATCCAGTTGCACAAAGGAGTGTTTAAGCCTAAAAGGCCCAGTTTGTCTACTAGATGCTGGGGAATGATTGTGTTAAACGCCAAACTGAAATCGACAAACAACAAACGCACATGAGTATTACTTTCCTCTAAGTGCTTCAGGCTCAGATGGAGAACGGAAGAAATAGCATCCTCCTTAGAGCAATTTGGTCAGTAGGCAAACTGAAGCAGGTCAAATGCTGATGGGAGGCTAGATACAAGTGTCCTTTATCAGCTTCTCAAAGCATTTCATGATGATGGATGTCAGTGCAACCAGACGGTAATCATCGAGGCCTGTAATTGTGGACTTTTTTGGCACTGGCAAGATGATGGCCATCTTAAAACATGATGGGACCACTGCCTGCTGCAATGAGAAATTGAAAATATCTGTGAGAACACAAGCCAGCTCCCCTGCGCATTCCTTGAGGACACGTCCAGGGATGTTATCTGGGCCTGCTGCTTTCCGAATGTTAACTGCAGTGTTTTCCGGACAGAGGTGACATCAAATCTTGGCACTTGCTCATCATGATGGGGCACTGCTTTCCTAGCAGGAGTACTATTTGATGCCTCACATCTACCAAAAAATGCATTCAGTTTGTTTAGGAAGTCTGTGTCATCCTTGCATCTTGATGGAGCCACCTTGTAATCTGTAATGGCTAGGATCTCTTGCCACATTCACCTGGTGTTTGTTGGGTCCCAAAAAAAGTTCGGAATTTTCTGGCAGTGGGCTTGCTTTGCACCTTTTATGGCACTTTTCAGATTTGCTCTGGCTGTTCTAAGTGCCAGCATGTCATCAGATTTAAAAGCCACATTCCATGCTTTCAGCATCTTGCGGACCTCATAAGTCAGCCACGGTTTTTCATTCGCCCTCACAACAATGCTTTTCAGGACACAGACATCTTCTATGCACTTTTGGATATATGCAGACACCGTGGTGGCACACTCCTCAACATTTGTATGTTGGTTATCAGTAGCTGCTTCCTTAAACATGCCCCAATCTGTGCACTCAAAGCAGTCTTGTAATGCTTCTATAGCTCCCTCTGTCCAAACGCTCACCTGCTTTACTGTAGGTTTCACTGTGACTAATAAAAGTTTATATGCTGGAATAAGCAGCACTGAGAGATGGTCAGAGGAGCCCAGGTGAGGGCGGGGGATAGCTTTGAAAGCCTTCTTGATGTTGGAATAAGCTAGATCCAGTGTATTGTCCCCTCTGGTTGCAAAGTCCACATATTGATGGAAATGTGGCAGGGTAGCTTTCAAATCCACTTTGTTAAAGTCACCCACTGTAATAAATGCATCCTCTAGGTGAGTAGTTTGTAAGTCACTAATGGTATGACAGAGAACCTTTAGGACCTCTTCTCTGTTTGCATCAGGGGGGATATACACAGTTGTGATAATGGTGACAGAATTCTCTAGGCCAGTGGTTCTCAACCTGTGGGTCGGGACCCCATTTGGGGTCGAATGACCATTTCACAGGGGTCACCAAACCATGCTGTCCGCCATTTTTTTCCCTTTTCCCTAGCTGTCCTACTCCCTCTTATTGGTGGCCACACCCACTTGGGGGTCACTACAACATGGGGAACTGTATTATGGGGTCACGGCATTAGAAAGGTTGAGAATCACTGCTCTAGGCAGATAGAAGGGTCTGCATTTGATGGTCAGAAGCTCCACATCTGGGGAGCACAGACTTGAAACCACCTTGGCATTATTACACCATCTGTCATTTATATAAAAACAGACACCCCCTCCCCAGGATTTGCCACTAAGAGTAAAACTCCTGTCCAGCCGAAATGTTGAAAATCCCATCAAGCTAACAGCACTCTCTGGGACAGAGGGCTTTAACCAAGTCTGTTGCAATAATGACACAGCAATTTCTCACCTCCCGATTTGTTGTTAAATCCAGCCTCAAGTAATCCATTTTTGGTTCTAAGGAGCGAGCATTTGCAAACAAAATAGATGGAAGAGACACTCTGTAAGGTCTAGCTTTTAGCCTAGATGTTAGGCTTCTACGCTTGCCACGCTTCCTTTTACGGTCGCACCTCCTCCTTTTCTTCTGAAGATAATCAGCAACAGAGGGAAACTTCCCAGCTGCAATGGCTGCTTCTCCACTCTGCCCCTGCCATCCGAAGTACTGGCTTTGCTGCTCAAAACACTGAGCACGATGCTGTTTCCCCCTCCAGCAACTTCCTTTCTTCCTCCTTGCTCCTCCGGACATTGCAGCTGATCTCACAACTCCGTCCTTGATTTTCTCCTTCGTAGTAATCTGAGGCCATGCAGGTTCTCCCAGACAGTTTTCTCCACCATTCCTTTCGCACTGAATTTCTTCATCTCCAATATGGACTGACGTTCGTATGAAAGTTTAGCAGCCTAACTCAGCTTAGTTGTCCCTATTTCTGAAAAGCGTTTCCATCCGGATCGTTCATTTCCCTTCCTAATCCCCACACTTTTGAGAGCTGAAGCAGCCTAGCAAAGCAAGGCGTCGCCATCTTTGGAATCCTGGAGTAATGATAAAACTTCTGCCTTTGCCAAAGCTTGTCTATCTATTAGCTATCTGAAACACAAGTTGGTATCAGCAGACTTGTCTATTTTAGCTATCGAGTAGCATTTGATTTGAGAGCCAGTTTGGTTTATGGTTAAGACATCAGGCTAGAAACTGGAAGATTGTGACTTCTAGTCCCACTTTAGGCACAAAAGTGACCTTGGGGGTTATCATTTTTTTCTTAGTCCTAAGAAAGGCATTGGCTAACCACTTCTGAAAAACCTTGCCAAGAAAACTGCAGGGACTTGTCCAGGTAGTTTCTAGGAATCAGACTCGTTTGAGTAGAAGGAAAAAATGGTATTTGATTGGCTGCACAACTGCATTTACTACATTTTATATTACATAGGTTCTGGAAAACATTTAGGCTGAGATAACTAGATATGCCAAAACAAAAAGTCTAAATTCACTTAGTAGCTATTAATTTGAATGAAATGTTTTATAGTTCGTGATCGTGTTCGGACAAAAATGGAACGTGACATCTTAGTAGAAGTTAACCATCCCTTTATTGTCAAGTTACATTATGGTAAGTTTAATAAATTTTGCAAATCAATGCCATATGATTAGAATATCTGTGTGAGCCCTTTGTGTTAGGCAAAGTAAGATTGCTAGCTTATTGTTGGGAGAGTGTAACAACAAAATTTTGAAGCCCAAAATCAAGGTGGGGTTACTTTAAGTTTCTTTTTCATTCTTCCTTCAGTTTTTGGACTGTGTAATACATTGCCAAGTCCATCCTTAATGGCTCTTTCATACTTTCCCCAAAGTCAGGTCTATATAATTGTTATGTATAATGCTTCAAAAATATATGTTGTCTTAGTAAAAATATTGATCCTGCCTAACAGTCAACAAATTGATTAACATTAAATGGTCTAGCAATAGAGGGAATTAGAAAATGTTTCTTCTGACAGGATAATTTCATGTGTGCAATTCCACCAATAAGTCGCCAGGACTGAGCTTTTAGAAATATAACTAAAAAAGCCACAGTTATGAATTGTTTTTATTATGACTTTGATGAGATTGCTTTGTGTGTTCACTGTTGCCAGCTTTATGGTTCACATTTTTGCGTATCTTTTTTGTCTCTAAGATAATTAAGCAAATCATTCAGAAAATTTGTTTCTTTTATTATGCCTCATTTTCCTTAAAAATATGTATTTACCTAATATTGGAATTTAGAAGGCAGCTGGGCTAAATAAACTGACATTGCTCTATAGACAGGTTATGGAAATACTTTTTCCAGAGGGCATTGCCTTCACTATACAAGATAAGCAGGAGCCAGCAGTTTTCAGAGCAGAGGCATAGTTAAATCAAAAGGTTGCTTTAGACAGCAAGATGGGCGACATATACATTTAATAAATAAAACAGCTTAGCTCCAAGGCCATAAAATATAGGGCAAAAAGTCCATTATAACAGGAGAGAGGTGGGAAGACAAAGTTTTTAAAGGTTTTGGATACAAAAGGGAAGTGTAGTCTCATACACTGACAGGGCCATCCTCTGTTTATTGTTACTTCATACTAATTTCAGTGAAGATTCTTATTTAACAGTGCTGTGCTGTGTATCTGAAGGACTTTAGCCAAATCTGAACCTACCAGCCAAATTAAGCTGGGATGAGATGCATAGATTTACTGTCAAAGTCCTGGTTCAAGAAATCCAGCATCCTTCTTTCTGATGGGCAAAGCAGAGCTTTCCTACAGTGATCTTCTGAGGCATTCTGTGCAAACTTTTATGAAACTGATAATATATTACAGCGTATAGCTTAATTTAGAGCCAATATCTGGTTAAGGCTTCAGGCTAGAAATCCAGGGACTATGAATTCTAATCCCAATTTAGGCATGAAGCAGTTGAGTGATCATGAGCCAATCACTCTCTCTTGGCCCTTCCTCTCAGGAGCAAGTCAGTGGCAAAACATTTCTGGCAATCTTGCCAAGAAAACTGCAAAGACTTGTCCAGGTAGTGGGCAGGAATCAAAACCTGACTCAAATAAATATATCTTAGTTTAAATAGATTCTGAAAGATATTGTATCAAGCCTCACTGAAATATTTTCTCTTATTTTTCAAGCATGGTAAAATATAGTATTACATTCATACAAATAACCATGCAGACCAATATGACAATTAAAAAGTAGCATTAATACTACCTGGTATATAGTGATAATCAAAGTTTGGCCCAACATTTTCCATTTACATGGAGGTTGATATATAACATTCTGCTATTTCCAAGGTTGTATGCCATCCCAATTTTACACAATAGTATCAATTCATAAAACTGAAACAATAGGCTCATAATGTGGAGCAATCTTGCTGTTCTTGCCAAGAACAGACCTAATGTATTTCTTGTGAAGATTAAATAATCAAATGCTGTATATATTTTCCACCAGATATCATTTGTTTCATAGAAGCATTTCTCTTTTATAAACATTCTTACTGAGATTCAGGAACCTAGCTTGAAGACATTTTAATTAGGAAGAGCTCCCATAGTGTCTCTTACAGATACACTGAATTCTACAATAAATGTTTTAGTATTAACAGGCAAGGATTGTACATTTTTAGTGAATTTGAGCTTTGGGCATTGTTTTATTGATTATTTGAAAATCATAGCCTATGGGAAATGCTGGAGTTTAGCCATTGTATTTTAATACTCCTCCAAAAATTGTTAATGACCAAGTATGTTGAAATAGCAATTTTGTAATATGAATACTTCGTATGACAAAGGATTCCCTCCAAGCTAGCTCTAACAGCTATTATGCCCTTTTTAATGCGGGACTGTGAAGCCCCTTAGGCAGGCAATAATAGTTCAGCCTTCTCTAGTGGGGTAATTTTCAGGAAGGATTGAGAGGATGGTAACAGCATCAGTCGATGCAGTTAGTTACTTACTACAGCACAGTAGTAACTTAAACAGCAGCAGTAGGCACTAAAAGGTGATGGGTGCCAGTGTTCGCATGGTTATCTAGTTCTAGCCTATGGAGTGTAACATAAATAATTAAATAGTTCCTTTCCATGGCTAGAGATACTGTATTGACTTTACTGAAATCAATTGTTTACTTTTCCCTCAGCTTTTCAAACAGAAGGGAAGCTATATCTTCTTTTAGACTTTCTCAGGGGAGGCGATTTGTTTACACGCTTATCCAAAGAGGTAAGCAAGGTTTATATGATAATTATGACAAAAGCTTTTTAATAGAACTTTCATTTTAAAAATGTGCTTAACTATGTAGGAATATATTCCACATTTTTTAATTTTTTGTATGTATAATATAGCATTTCTTCTACATTTTCTGTACTTTGAAATAATTCTAAGAGCTAATTATGATTATATATTAGTATGAATTTTAGATGCTTTGTGTTAATACTTATTTACTAATGACAGTGACTTTTATAAAATGAATATTTGTATGCCACTTTTAATTATATATGTTACATTTTAAATTGAGAAATAAACATTCTTACCCTTAGTCCCTTAGAAAATAAAGACCCTCGACTTCATTAGATTGAAGCAAAAAGTAATTTTACTAAGGAAGTTGGTTGCAGTAAAGACCAGCCTCTGGTCTTCATCACCTGTCATTTCTCCCTTCCTATTTCCCATCATGTACATACAATCATATTGTCCATTTGTCTGCCCCCTCCCCCCTCCAGCCATTGATGGTAGGAACTGGCAGGATTGACACTACCTTAGTTATAGAAATGCATGTTTTTCTTTGTAGGTCATGTTCACAGAGGATGATGTCAAATTTTATTTGGCTGAATTAGCACTCGCTTTAGACCATCTGCATAGTCTTGGGATAATATACAGAGATCTAAAACCAGAAAAGTAAGTTATTTCAAATTGGATTCAAGTAGCTGTATCCATGGAATTATGATGAGGCAGAAGGATATGGCAAAAAAAAAATTATGTTATAAGTCTCTGCTTTTTTCTATGTATATTGTAGTTTCAATGGAAATACTAGAGAGGAATAATGTATAGCACAACACTACTTTCATCTTTCTTATAAAAGAAACAAACACTTGCAAATGCCCATGGCTACATTTATACATTTGATAAATTTATTTATAGTAGATGTTTATAGATGACTCTTATCAATAGAGGTGCAATGACTCAGTGGTTAAAGCTGAAAAGCTGACAGCCCAGGTTATAAGCTGAAAAGCTGACAGCCTGGGTTCAATACCTGAGCACCACACAATGGGGTGAGCTCCCATTACTTGCCCCAGCTCCTGCCAATCTAGCAGTTTGAAAACATGCAAATACAAGTAGATAAATAGCTACCACTTTAGTGGGAAGGTAACAGCATTCCGTGCGCCTTGGTGTATGGTCATGCTGGCTACATGACCACGGAAGTTCTTCAGACAATGCTGACTTCCTAGAGTCAGACACAACTGGACTGGGGAAACCTTTACCTGTATCAGTAACGGAGTAACCTTGAAATAATACTCTATAGCTTTCTTTAATCATTGCCAATAAAATTTATATAACCAATTTAAAACTTCATTTTATTTATAGCATACTTCTTGATGAAGAAGGACATATTAAATTAACAGGTATGTAAGGCAAAATTTACTTTCTATGAATGATTTGTAGACACCTTGCTTTTTGCATGATAAAACAGAACGATTTCAAAATACAAGCACTTAAAAATAGCCCACTTAAAAACTAAATAATTTTCTGGTTAGAAATATTACTAAATATACTTTTTTTTCCTTCCAGATTTTGGCTTAAGCAAAGAATCTATTGATCATGAGAAAAAGGCATACTCCTTTTGTGGAACAGTGGAATACATGGCCCCAGAAGTAGTTAATCGGCGAGGTCATACACAGAGTGCAGACTGGTGGTCATTTGGTGTGTTAATGGTAAGTTTTAATGCATGGGATGACTAAAGTCTATGGATCTTTGATATTCGGCCCCATGCTTTAGTACAGCAGTTCTCAACCTGTGGGTCGCGACCCCATTTGGGGTCGAACAACCATTTCACGGGGGTCGCCAAACAACGCAGTCCGCCATTTTTTTCCCTTTCCCTTAGCTGTGCTACTCCCTCTTATTCTATTGGCTTTTGAAAACCAATAGAATAGACCAGCGGTTCTCAACCTTTTTATGCTGCGACCCCAACCAGTCGTAAGTCAAGGACTACTCAACCGGTCGTAAGTCGAGGTCTACTCAACTGGTGCATCTAGTTAATTTATTCTGAACATAGTATGTATACCCGGGATATAAATTGGCAGGATAAATAATTAAGTTCTTTATTTCACTTGTTAGCAATTTGCAGGTCACTATAAATTTGGCACTATTTTTATTATTTCATAAGTAGCTCTAGGATAAATTAAATCCTCTCAATATACATTCTATGGGGTTGAATCAGGACAAATGGAAATAATTTATACCTAAATGGAATTATACTATAAAAATAGTATTTCTCAAATTTGTTATGTTCATAATCAAATCTAAGCAAATTTGAAATTTTAAACTATTTTAATGCTTAATATCCTTTTGATTATTGAAAATTGCAACTAAAAAACTTTTTTGAGATTTTTAAAATGTAATGCAATATTTTCACTATAGATTTGCTTAAATAACAAATGTATGTAGATTTTGAACTTCTGTGTTTAGAGTACAAGCTGTTAACAAGGTCAATATTACTTATGTATTACAGAAAAGCATGAAGTTAGCTTTTACAAGAAACATAATTATGCAGTTTTTGAAAGAAAGGGGATTTTAACATGTTTCTAATCTGACTAGAATGTTATATTTTAGTGTATTTCTTCACAAGTATATTAAAAGCTATATTGATTAGCATGGAGTAAGTATCTTGCAACAAAATTAAATGGTTCAAGTACAGGATTTTTTAAGTTCTCAGAGAAATAATCTCAAATATCCAACTGTATGAATTTTTAGTTTTTAGTAGTCAGTATACAAATAGCTCCTAGATTTAAAATACTTTGAGATATCACTTAGTATCATATGAAATTATAAGCAATGTTTTAAAGAACTTTCTAGACAAGAAAAAAGAATAATTTCAATTTCCAAAAAATTAGTAGCCAGATTAATTTTGACTACTTTGGGTATATATACTTATTCATAAACCATTTTATTAAATATTTAAATTTCTTAAAGTGTAAAAGCAGAAAAGAAAAAATAAATATGTTTTGAAATTCTTTCATTAAAATAGAAATTTGTCAAATAATTTTGAATTACAAACATCTTAACTCTTAAAGCACATTTTAGCCTCACCATATGTGTTCTTATATTAGAACAGTCTGTTTATCAAAAATGGTCCAATCTCACTTTCAAGGTTCCAATGAAATTGGAATATAATGTTTTGAACTCAGAATATTTTGATCTTATAATGTGTTGCAATGTTATCTGTTTTTATTTTACAATTTTAAAAGCAGAATGGAATTGAAAACCTATACTTAAAAGTAAAAAAAATCTAGGAAAATAAAATCTTATATTTGAAGAATATAAACATATTGGAAGCATTAAATATAGAGTTAAACTTTTGAGCACTTAAGCTGTTTATTAATAGAGAAAATTGCCTATAAAGCTCCTAATTTACATTTTTAAAAAAAATGAAAAATCTGCTAAATTAATCTTGTCAAAGATTTTCTCCATATCTTTTAAGATAATTGATGAAAGTTTTATTCTTTCAGTTTGAAATGCTCACTGGTACGCTACCTTTCCAAGGGAAAGACAGAAAAGAAACCATGACTATGATTCTCAAGTGAGTACACTCTTATTTATATATGTTTCAGATATTCTAATGGGTTTGCCCTCTGGGTTGTAATATTTAATGACCATTCTTCCCTTCATTTTGAAAGATACTAATATATTATAAATACATATTTCAGATGTCCTGATTTCTGCATCAGAAGTGTAAAGACATTCAACCCAATGCTTTATAATTTGGCATATAGTAACTATTAGTTCTTTTGACTCCTCAAATGTCTCATGTATCATAGCTCTTGTTCATGTTATTTTCAAAACAGTGTTGGTGTAATCAAACCTTGAAGAGTTTTCTCACATATTCAGTTTGTTAACACTGAATAAGTGAGAAATATGTTTTTTCATTGCTTATTTCTACAATTTATGCTGCTTCTTGCATACCAACTTAATTCTAATATATACTTGGTCATTTGAAAAATCTATAACACTGATATTTTTGCTTGATTTTTGGTAAGTTATATACATCATCTTGTCAGACTTTGACTCTTGATGAATGCCTGGCAATTTTTTTCAAAGTGCCTGCATGGTATGCAAGATATAGTAGTACTATGCTCATAAAATATTACTTATCATACTTCATGCCATATACAATAATAACTCTTAATTCTTCAGATATTAACCCTATATTTAGGAACTTAGTAGAAGCTCACAGACAGAATATGAAAAACTGCAGAACAGATCAATCAGGCTCTGTATAGTATATATTTCCACTCCAGAGTTTAAATCTAGGTCCTTTCCTCCTAGCCTTTAAAATTAAAAGAAATTTGGCTATTCTTTTCTAGACTTTGAGTTAACTTCTCAATATTTACATAACAATTTTGGCTGCCCTGAGAACCGTTGCTTCCACCTCATCAGTTTTAGATGTTACATTCTGTTATCTTGCAGAAAAATATATTTTCATTATTCTTTAGTTAAATTTAAACCCATTAGATCAGGACAATATACTTTTCTATTTCCCTGCCTCTTTTTAATAGTAATTTTACCTTTTAACTGACATTTACATCATTTTACAATATTAGCTCAACCTCTGAAACATGGTTCTTGGATCAGATACTTGGTTTGTCCCATTGCTACCGCCTTTAGAATTGTGAAGGCTGGGAATGTGAATTGATTTATACTTTTTTAAGCAGATGATACTGGGTTTTTGTCTCAGAGCCCAAATATGTAGTAAATGTTAGACTGAATGCTGTTACAAGAAGTACAGATCTGACAATAAACCAAAGACCAAAGAAGTTGCATTTCACAAGGAAAATGAAGTGAGCAACTGGAAGTTATATATAAAGAGAATGATATTTTTAACACACATTCTAGCAAGTATGGTCCAACCACAAATAAAACCGAAAAGAGAGTTAAAATTAAGCAAAAGCAATAAAATCAATATACTTCATGGAATATTTTAAATCGCAATAAAAATAGCACACCATTATAAAATTCCATACCTATCATCCATCTTACTTTGTTCATAAGATGTACAGAAAAACAGTCCTACCAGCATTCTCAGCATTGGCTCACAAACACTTGCACTAGTTGCTTTTATTATATAAAAAGAATTTCAAATATTTTTTAAATACATCCGAAGATACATAAAGTGGAATAGATGGGAATAATTTTTTAAAACATGTATGAATAAGATGCAGCAACATGAAAAAGGTAAATAAGAAAAATCTCCTGTCCCACTGACTATATTATCTAAACAGGATCCTACCAAGACAGGAGCTGGGACAAGTAGTGAGCAAGGCTAGCTGCAGAGCCTTAAACATTACTATGAAGAGCTTAAAATCCCTTCTTAATATGGAGCCAGTTTAAGACCCTGCAGCAGGTGGGAAAAAAGGAAAAATTAGTTCCAGAATAATGCATACTGAAACTTCTGGAATGAGGTCAGAGAGGTAATAAAAGAGCCTGCCCATAGACTATTATAGTCTGGGCAAGATACCACGAGAGCCTGAACTTAAAAATGTCAGTAGCCGGAAACAGTTGAATTTGGCTGATGTTCAACAATTAAAAAAGACTCACTCTCATAGTTGCTGCTAAAATGGCCAAAGAGAGAGCGTACTATCGTCAAATGGGAAGAAATTAAAGTGAGTAAGTAAAGTACAAACTATATGTACTTTATAAATATGTATTATGGTACATATTTAGTAAAGATGGGAAAATGGTGGAGAAATAAACTCAAGAGAAGGGAAGTGGATAGTATGAGATAAGGAATGAAAGTGCTATATGTAAGAGTGTTTCTGGTTCACCTTATGAGTTAGATCAGGAGAAACACAAAGTAAGTCAAATGTAATGCAAATAGTATATTTAAGGATATACCATGTTTCCCCAAAGTAGTTAAGACCCGGTCTGATTTTTGCCTCCAAAAGAGGCATTAGGTCTTACTTTTGGGTGGTGTCTTATATTTTCCGTGACACCTGCCTTGCCTCGCGGCAGTGGCATCAACAACCTCTTCCAGCAGGAGCCTACATGGCAGCTGGCCCACTTCTGCTGTGGCCGCTTGTGGCAGGAGGCTACCCAGCACATTGCGCTGCTGCCACCACAACAAGGCGAGGCAGGAGGCCATGTGGCACATTGTGCCGCTGCCACCACAACAAGGCAAGGCAGGTGGGGGAGAGGATGGAACCGCCCCATGCAGTCTGCACCTGCTTCCTTCAGCCCCTCCCCCCCAGCCAGGCCATTCCTTGCTCCCTTTGATTCCCCTCCTAAGCTGGACTGCCATGCTACTGTACAGAGGATGAGCCAGGTAGACCTGGTCCCCCTTTGCTGTTTCGGAGCCAGGGGGAGTGATGGCAAAAGGCTCTGCTGCTGCTGTGTGCTGCTGGATGGGGCTTTCTTCACACTCCATCCCACAAAGCACCTGCCTTGCGGCACCTGCCACCTCTTTCTCCGCCAATTCTTCCATGGCTTGTGCCGTGACCGCCGACTCCCTCCACCAGCCCTCCGTCGCTGCCACTGGAGAGAATGGAGAGTGGGGAGGGGAGCGGCTCTGCGCAGCAATGGGGAGTGGCTCTGCACAGAGATGCAGAGCAGAGTACTTGCTTGCATCACCCCTCATCTCCCTTCTCCGTTCTGGAAATGGCAGCCCTGTTTCCTGCCATTTCTCCAGCGCTGCTATAGAGCTTGGCGCACCATCGCCCAGCTCTTCCCTCTGCTCCAAAGCAAAAAAAATTCTTTACTAACCTGCTGTCACTCCCCCTGGCTCCGAAATGATGGAGGGGGACCAGGTCTACCCGGCCCATCCTCCATATGATAGCATGGCAGTCCATCTCAGGAGGGGAGTAAAAGGGAGCAAGGAATGTCCTGACGGGGGGGGGGGCGGCGAAGGAAGCAGGTGAGGGGCACATGGGGCAGCTCCACCTTCTCTCCCACCTGCCTTGCCTTGTGGCGGCAGTGGCGTGATATGCTGCACGGCCTCCTGCCCCATTGTGGCAGCCAGGTGGGACAGAGTGGGCAGGTCCTAATTAGGGCTTATTTTTGGAGTAGGGCTTATGTTAAGTCCACCCCTACAAATCATGGTAGGTTTTTTTGGGGGGTGGGGTTTATTTTTTACGTTATGTGGGGGGGGAAAGAGACAGGGTCAGGAATGAACGGGTGCTGAATGAATACAAAACTTAACAGCTTTTTATTTAAAAAATTGGTAAAAGAAATGTATGAAATTGTTTATGAATGTAGTAGAAACAAGGACAGAAAAGCATGAAGTAGCAAGTGATGTACTGCAAACTTGATGTAACTATATTTCTCATTTTCTTATCTTGGGCCTTTAATTTCTTTGGCTTATTATTATTCCCTTTCTGTATATGATGTTGGTTAGCCATGCTTACAAGATGGGCAGCCAAATAAATTGATTAAAATAAAGAATGATTAATGTTGCCATTTTATGACATACTGTGAGGCTTTTAATAGTTTATTTTCAGATAAGAGGCAGCATCCAATATCAGGAGAAATTTTTTTGTCATGTTCTCCTTTTCACTCATCAGTCTCTTTCCCCTGGCTCAATATGCATGGAAGCTGTTTGAACCATCCCCACCTGACCTGAAGCTCAAATGATGAAAGGCAGCAGAATAGTGAAAAATCATTCCAGTCAATGGTACAAACAGTGAATATTAATACCAATTATTTAACCTGTAGTTAAACTACAGTATTGTACAGTAATAAACTAAAACCAGTGAATGTAGATTAATACCCTTTATGTTTGTAAACTATTAATTTGTTTTCTTTTACAGAGCCAAACTTGGAATGCCCCAATTTTTAAGTCCAGAAGCTCAGAGTCTTCTTCGAATGCTTTTCAAAAGAAATCCTGCAAATAGATTAGGTAGAATATTAAAGTTACCTAATTAAGATTCCAACAATAAATTAAATAATCATCTAAGGGTTTTTGGTATTGTTTTTGTTAATAACTTTTAATAGGAGCAGGTCCCGATGGAGTTGAGGAAATTAAGAGGCATCCATTTTTCATCGCAATAGACTGGAATGTAAGTATACAAATCAGGAAAAACACTATTATAAGAAATATATCATGCTTACTGACTGTTCCAAGTTATGGTGGACTCCCCCAAAAAAGCTAATTATTCAGTTCTGAAGTTCTCATATCCCCTCCCACAATCACGTGACATATTTAGAATGTGTGGCAACCAGCCCACATTTACACTTCTTTTCACCATTTGTGGTCACATAACTGCAATTTGAGTCATTTTTTTGTCAGAAAATGTTTATTTCCATTAAAATCCACTCAGAAGGAATAATGGATTTGCTTAGCAACCATTGTGCTTGCTTAGGGACTGCTGCAAAAGTCGTAAAATCAGCTTTGGTCATGTGATAACCCACTTTATAACCATCACAACTTATAACTAATTGCAAGCTCAATTACAATTGTAACTCAATGACTACCTTGTATGTATTTGTAATATATTAACAATTTGTTTGCCTTAGAAATTGTACAGAAGAGAAATTAATCCACCATTTAAACCTGCAACTGGTAGACCTGAAGATACTTTTTATTTTGATCCTGAATTTACAGCAAAAACACCAAAAGGTAAAATATATACTATATGAGGGAAGTTTTAGTATATATATTTCAATTTTTCTCTGGCACAAATATATTAAATTTTATTTTAAAAAACTTTGCCATAGTATTCATGCTATCATATACAGTCCTTCTATATTAAAGAAAATCCCTTCCATGATTTTGTATTAAATGCGAGATAACTCTCCTTGTAGTTTAACTTAAATTGTCAGAATCCATATCTATCTGATTTCATACTTCCCTTGTTCTTTTCCTCTGACCCCAATTCCATTCTCTTCTCTCCCTGGGTTCTGCCATACTCCTGGAGGGGAGGGGGGGAATGATCGTGGGTTTATTGCCTTAGCTTCCTCTATCGCTACAATGTAGAACTTTGCTTTCCTGCACTATTTCTCTCTGTACTTTCCTCTCCCTAAACTGTCAATTAGAAAAGGGGGAGGAAGAAAGGAATGCAGCCTCCAGCAACTGGCTTATCTCTCCACTCTCAAGAGAAGGTACTAAGAATCGCCTAAACATCGCTGTTACAACCAGAGCCGGCTTGATGTTATCTCCCCTTTCCCACGATGGACCTAACACCTATGGATTGGCCGGTTTGAACTCTCCGGATGAACTATGGGATAGGGTTTGCTTGGGGACACTTTAACCCATTGATCTGTGCAGGAAAACCTCAGATCCTGTTTAGTATGCCTGCTATCAGCTTCTCCTAATAAAAGTTCCTTTTGGAAGAGCTTGCTTCCATGAGTTCTGCTTTCTTGGGATGAGGTATTGAAGTGGGCCCTGACATTAGGCTCCGAGACGTCCTATACCTCGGAGGAAGAGGTGGTGGAGACGCACAGTCGTAAGCCTTGCTGGTGCATAGGCGTAGGCAAGAAGGACAAGTGGGAGAAGAAATCGAATAAGGTGACACTGAGGCAAGGCAGCCACCAACCAGGATGGAAAGATCCCTGCATCTTAGTGAAGATGAGGACGATCATGGAGAGCAATCAAGCTGGATCCTGAAGAAGGCAATCAACCTGATGAAATCAACCCTCATCTCCCTCAAAGAAGAAAAGCCCGAGCCCTGCAGCTGTACCATTACCTTGGGCTGCAGCAAAAGGGACACCGAGGGGGAGTCCGAAGCCAAGGCCCCAGGAACGTCAGGCGGAGAAGCCCCACTCCCAGCCGTGCGGTAGCTGCTGATCGGGATGGACGACACTACAGACGACGTAGGCATCAATACATCCAGAAGTTCCCTCCCCTGGACGTGAAGTTTCAAGGAGAGCCACGGCGCCTGGGATTCTTCCTAACCCAAGTCCTCAGCTACATGGAAGAATACGGCCGAGACATCCCGACCGACAAGGCTCAGATCCGCATCATACAGGCGGCCCTGGACAGCGTGGCAGCTGACTGGGTAGTAGACATGCACGACTCCGATGCCCCAGAGCTCCAGAACTTCAACCAGTTCATGTTCTCCCTTAGATGACGTTTTGAGGACCCGTTGGCAGACCGGAAGGCCCGTGAGAAGATTAAGACGGTGAAGCAAGGCAGATGCCCAGTTGCCGAATACACCCAGGAGTTCGGGCCATTGCTAGCAAGCTGAACTGGCCAGAAGACATCCTGCTTAGCCACTTCAAGGATGGGCTGAATTACAACCTCTACGATTCCTGCCTTCCCCGAGGAAACCCACACTGATTGCACGATTGGTACATCCTGGCAGAGGAAGCCAAAATCGACCTGCTCAAGAGACATCGCAGAGGGAGGCCATAGAGCTGATCACCCTCTGAGCTGTCACGCAAGCCCGCAAAATCTCAACCCACAACCAAGAAAACCAGCGGTTGCTTCAAGTGTGGGAAAGAGGGGCATTGCGCTGCAAAGTGCCGCTCAAGAAACCCCAGGAGAAAGCCGACCGGACACCAGCTGGGAAGTCAGGAAAGTCACCCGCCAAGCCGTGAGAACCAGCCCTGAAGGGCACTGAGGCCATCGAGTTCCCCCCTCCACCCAAGGGGGGAAAGGAACCCTGGCCTATACCACAGGAGCATCCAACTCGTCAGACGACAACTCCAAAAATGAGCCCCTGGTAAGTGGACCTATCGCACCCCTCACCTGGACAGTAACTATCCTAGCCTCCTCCATGCCCGAAGCTGTAAAGGTTAGAGCCCTAATAGACTCTGGCTGCATGCGTTGCCTTATTAGCCCAATGCTGGTGGGAACCCTGGGCATTCCAGTGAGGAGGCTGAAGAAACCAATATCCTTTGGTCAATTAGATGGGTCCATAGCAGAGGGAATGCCAGCCGCTCTAGCCACACTACCGATCCACTTTACCCTGGAGGACCACGAGGAGACTTTCATGGTGACCCCAGGCACGGAGTGGCCAATAATATTAGGGACGGCATGGCTAGCAAAATGGAACCCCTGAGTGGACTGGAGGACAGCGGAGCTCAGGTTCCCAAAAGGGGATCAAATGGGATCGCCACCTGAGGGAGGTCCCAAGAGTTCCCCTCTGGAAAAAGCAGCAATGGGGGAGGAAAAAACATTGCCCGAAATGCCTGAGGAGTACAAGGACCTCGCTGAAGTCTTCAGCAAGGAGCGGTCGGAAGAGCTACCCCCTTACCGACCCACAGACTGCACTATAGAAATCAAGCCAGGAGTGAAGCTCCCAAAGCCTAGATTATACTCTATGAGCACCGAGGAGCTACAATAAATGCAAAAAATTTTAGATAAGAACTTGGAGAGGGGCTTCATTGAGCCAGCCTCCCCACAAAAGGTAGCAGCCCCAGTCCTGTTCAAGGAGAAGAAAGATGGCACATTGCGCATGTGCGTGGATTATCACACCTTGAATGCCATAAGCGAAAACAACATGGACCCTCTCCCCCTCCTGAAAGACATGCTGTCCCACCTATCGAAGGGTAAAATCTTTACGAAACTAGACCTAAGGGAAGTCTACTATTTCATTAGAATTAAAGAGGGGGACAAGTGGAAGACTGTGTTCAATTGCCCTATGGGGTGCTACCAATTTAAGGTCTTGCCATTTGGGCTGCAGGGAGCCCCTGCGGTCTTCATGCAGCTGATCAATGATGTACTGAAGGAGCACCTATACAAAGGAGTCCTCGTCTATCGGGACGACATCCTTATATTTACAGAGACTAAGGAGGAGCATGTAAAATTAGTCAGGGCAGTTTTGAAAAAACAGCCGCCAACCTCTATGTAAAACTGTCAAAGTGAATTTCACAAATAGAATTGACTACCTGAGCTACCCGCATATCAACCGAAGGCATAGAGATGGACCCCAAAAAGGTCCAGGCAGTGCTAGAGTGGGCGCCACCCCGCACGAGAAAGCAACTACAAAGCTTCATGGGGTTTGCTAACTTCTACCATCAGTTCATCCCTTCTTTCGTCCAGATAGCCCTGCCTATCACGAACCTATTAAAGACAAAAGAGGGAGGCTTGGTAAAACCTAGTCAGCCACTAACTTGGATGATGGAATGTCAAGCTGCATTCGAAAGACTAAAGAGACTTTTTTCGGCTGAACCAGTTTTAAAACACCCCAACCCAGACAAGCCATTTGTAATCCAAGCCGATGCAAGTGACATAGCAGTAGGAGCAGTATTGCTACAGGAAAATGACAAGGGGCATTTGCGACCCTGTGCCTACACATTCAGAAAACTCTCTGACACGGAGCAATGTTGGGCGGTGTGGGAGAAAGAGGCGTAGGTTGTGAGATGGGCACTCCTCACCTGGTGGCACTTCCTGGAAGGGAATAAAATCCCATTCCAGGTCTGGACAGATCATAAGAACTTGGAGCCCCTTAAAACACCCAGAAAACTCACCCCCAAACAAGCCCAGTGGTCACAACACTTCCACCAGATTACGTTCACAATCAAACACTTACCAGGGAGGAGGAATTTCCTGGCAGATGCTCTATCCTGCATGCCCCGGTATAAAAGCTCCCAGCCAACCATCTCCAAGCCGCTCATGCCGGAAGTGCAGCTGGCAGCACAAGTAACCACAAGAGCTCAAGCAAAACTAAAGCAGCCGATAGCCAGCCAAGCAGGGATCGAATTCAGGAAGGCTCTAGTAACTGATGAATGGTTCCAGAGCCACAAAAACTTATGCGCTATCACTGACAGCTTACCATAGGTGGGGGAGAAGCTGTACATCCCCAAAACCCAAAGGATTACATTTATGCAGCTTTGCTATGACACAAAACCAGCAGGTTACTTTGGATTCGTGAAAACGCTGCATTTAGTAAAAAGACAGTTCTGGTGGCCATCTATGAAAAAGGACATTGAGAGCTATGTGGCCAGCTGTCCAACCTGCGCAGCTGCCAAAAAACTGCAAGGGAAAGCCCCTGGACTGTTACAGCCAGTGGCAAGCTTCTCAGCCCCCTGGAGGGAAATCTCCATGGATTTCAAAGTAGAACTACCAGAAAGTAGTGGAAACAGTGATCTGGGTGGTCACGGACTTATTCTCAAAATAAGTACACTTCATCCCTTGTCCAAAAATCCCCACCGCTAAAGCCTTAGCAAAACTGTTCGTCCAGCACATATATAGACTGCATGGGGCACCCCAACGCATAATATCAGACAGGGGGATGCAATTCACATTGGATTTTTGGAAAGAGTTCCTGTCCGTTTTGGGGACCACCCAGGAGCTGTCATCTGGTCATCATCCTCAGATGAATGGGGGGATGAAGCATTCGAACTCAGTATTTGAACATTATTTAATTTATTAATTTCCATCAGACAAACTGGACCGACCTGCTCCCTTTCGCAGAAGTGGCATACAACAACGCGGTCCATTCCAGCATTGGCTACACCCCATTCCAAGTAGCTACGGGCCAAAGTTTCAACTCCATGCCGGAACTAAGTGCCACTGAGCCAGCCATTCCCTCCTTGAAGGAGTGGATTGTACAATTAAAAACACCTGGCCAGTAGTTAGAAAAGCACTAGATGAAGCCAGACAAGCCTATAAAGCACAAGCAGATAGGAAAAGAGTCAAACTAAAACCATTCTTTGTAGGGGATTTGGTTTACCTATCCACAAAATACCTAAAATCCCTGCAACCATCCAAAAAACTAGGACCAAAATATGTGGGACCGTTCCCCATCAAAAGAATTATAAACCCAGTAACAGTAGAGTTAGAATTACCAAAACCCTCAGGCAGATTCACCCTATCTTCCACTGCAGCCTACTAAAATGAGAACAGCGATCACCTTTACGACCAGCCATCGCACCATCGCACCACCCATGGTTGAGGGGGAGCAGCATTTTGAAATAAAAGAAATCCTTGACTCCCGAAAATACCACGGGGCAACCCAATACCTAGTAGCATGGAAACACCTTCCGTCTTCCTAAATCAAATGGGTTCATAAACGTCACGTTAGATCCCCCAAACTATTAAAAAAATTTCACACAGACTACGCGAACAAACCAGACTAACCTCTCAATATTTGTTTTGTCTCTCAACAGATTGATCTCTCATATTTTTAAGGGGGGCAGGATGTCAGATCCCATATCTATCTGATTTCATACTTCCCTTGCTCTTCCATTCTCTTCTCTCCCTGGGTTCTGCCATACTCCTGGAAGGGAGGAGGGAATGATCGTGGGTTTATTGCCTTAACTTCCTCTATCGCTACAATGTAACACTATGCTTTCCTGCACTATTTCTCTCTGTACTTTCCTCTCCCTAAATGTTAATTAGAAAAGGGGGAGGAAGAAAGGAATGCAGCCTCCAGCAACTGGCTTATCTCTTCGCTCTCAAGAGAAGGTGCAAAGAATCGCTTAAACATCTATGTTACAACCAGAGCCAGCCTGATGTTATCTCCCCTTTCCCACAATGAACCTGGGGATTGGCCGGTTTAAACCGTCTGGATGAACTATGGGGTGGGGTTTGCTTGGGGACACTTTAACCCATTGATCTGTGTGGGAAAACCTCAGATCCTGTCTAGTATGCCTGCTATCAACTTTTCCTAATAAAAGTTCCTTTTGGAAGAGCTTCCTTCCATGAGTTCTGCTTTCTTGGGATGAGGTGTTGAAGTGGGCCCTGACATGCCATCAAACTATTCTTTGTACACTACAATTTGCCCAAATTTTGGAATTTATTTTCTTGGAAGTCTCATCTCTCTCTTGCTATTAGCCTTTCAGAAAAACATAGTTATTCTGTCAGATACCTGACCTATGCCAACTAAAATTTCATTTTTTTTTATAAATATTAATTTTCTATTTTTACAATCAAGTGCTTAATAGACAACATAATGACTGAGTCCATTAGTAATTCCATGGTACTTGTAAGTTTCTTCAAACTAAATCCAATATTACACCATCCAATACATCCTCTCTTCTTCCAGGAATAGACATTTTTCCACACTAAGAAATACAATTCTTATTGTTAATAAATATACAGTTATATATCAGCATTTGTTACAGTTTTCTAATAGTATCAGTAATATCAGTTTAGAATATCTTTTCTAACCAAAACATATCTTAATTGCATTTGTACTCAATATCCATTTATTCAGTCCATGCCCTATTTTCCCCTTTTTCAATTTAAATATCTCAATCATTTATAATTTCAAAACAAGTTATATTTGGTAACCAAAAGCTGCCCTTATTCAAACTTTTTAGCATTTTCTTATTTCCCTTTTCATACCAAGATATAATATTCTGATTACAAATCTTATCTATCTATTTATAATAATACTTCTATTTCTAGCAATCTATTCTTAACCATATTCAATCATCTAATTAATGATATAACATCCCCTCTTAATAGGTCAAAACTTCTGTTTTCTTCAGACCTACTCTAGCTTTCTTCCTTTGCCAACTAACTTGCCAAGTCAGTGCATTTGGATCATCAAATAATTCTTCCTCTATTTTTGTATATGTTATTTGGCACAAGAGAAACAATTTAGTTAAGGTATTTCTGGAAGAACTAGCCCATTGATATTCATTAAACAACCTCCCTCCTTCTCCAGTTCCCCACAGTTCTGTTGACAGCTCTATCTTCCATTCCATCTTCCTTCCTTATCCTCCAGTATGCTCTGAAATTCTGGTTGGTAAAATGTCTTTTTCATTTCCAATATTATCTTTATATCTTCTAATTCTTCATTTGTCTGAGTCTGGCCATTAGTTCCTTCCTTTAGATCCTCCATATTTGGGTCAGCATTCTCTAGTTTTCTTTCTATTTTCTGGGTTGCTAGGTCCTTCTCTGTAGTTGCTTTCTGAGTTTGTAGATTTAAATTAGAAAATTGTTCTTTTGTCTCCTTTGTGTTATTTTTAATCTCATCACAAGCTAAGGAAATTGTTTCTTGTATTAATTTTAACATGGAGAGAATTTCTTTCTGTGATTCATCAGTATTTTCTTGGTGGTGTGTCAAACTGAGGCTTCTGGAGACAGATATTAAGGATGGTTTTTACCATTTAGAGCTAAATATGGAACATCTATTTTATTTTTTGTAAGTGGCCTTTATAGAAATCTGTTTAAGCGTTTAGAAAGTTTCAGTCAATTGTCATTAGAACTCCAGATTATCCAACCAACTTCTCAATCCATTCTTAAACCCTAAGCAAATATAAGTAAAATTCAATTTTTTCTGTCCAATGAGAAATATATCCTTTCTGTCCAGGGAGAAGAAAGAACCATTAAAGGTTATTTATCAATCAAGATTTATAATCCAAAAGGTTCCATCATATCAGGCAATAGTGTATGTTTCTTCTACAGGAAAATAGTTCCACAATACAGTTCTGAAGGTTAGTATTTGTGTTTGTAGTTCAGACAGGCCAATTTTAGAATAGTTTATCATCTCTTGCCACACAGATAAGCAGCCCCCAGGTCTGTTCCTTTTTCTCAGCTGCATTCTTCAAAAGTGAAAGTTGCCAAGCCAAGCCAAAGCCTTATCTAATTCTGGGCTTCAAGCCTGGTTTCTTTTAGGCATAATAAGTTGTAGTGCTGTAATTCACCACTAGATGTCATTAATACCGTTTTTCAGTTTTTAAATCCAAAACTTGTATTATAAACTTTTCAGGTCTCTTTTTTAAAAAAAAGAAGAAAAGGTTCTTAAAAGCACTTTTAGTCCCCAAATTTCCAAGCCATATATATATTAACTCCAAATTAGTCTTGTAGATTTTTCTATTTTCTCCAAGTAATTAATTCACCACTTTCTGTTCCTGAGGGAATGGGGCAGAAATTCCCCTTCCCCCTCTCATTGGGGAGAGTGCTTTGGGCAGCTTTTCAGGAAGAAATCTTAAAATCATAAAGAGAGGATCAGGTCTCACCCAGCTTCATCCACGTTGGTCTAAGGTTGCTTGTTGGTGCTTATTGTCTTCCATTGTCAGCAGCTTTTGACAGGCTACGCGAATGTAGCCAGTCTTTCCCCCGCCGGCTAGGAGGGCTTCCTTGGATCAAATGGGAGGGCTGCTACCCCCAACCCCCTCCGTGATCAGTGAGGGTCCCCTTCTTGCATGCTGCCTCTATGGGGCGACTTTTGACCCTTTTCAGGGTCCCCCAGCGGGGCAAAATCGAATGCAGAAGATGGAGCTGCAACTTCAAAACTGGAAGCCCAGCCAATTAAAATTTTAATGTTTGAAATGTATTGTAATTTACTTAATTTTTAACATTTTTATTACTCTTATAGCTTATTTTTTATTATGAACTGCCTTAAATATTTACAAAACTTACTGAACATACTTATCAATGTATTTTTTGCAGATTCACCTGGTATTCCCCCAAGTGCTAATGCTCACCAGCTTTTCCGGGGTTTCAGTTTTGTAGCTATTGCATCAGATGATGAAAATCAAGCTATGCAGACATCTGGTGGACATTCAATTGTTCAGGTGAATGTTCTTAATGCAGAACTTTTAGATTGACTGTTATCTAGTTCAGAGGTCCCCAACCTTTTGGGCACCAGGGACCAGTTCCGTGGAGAGAGGTTTTTCCACGGACCGGAGGGGGTGTGGTTTTGTGTGCTGCCTGCATCCTGTGGATGGGGCTTTCCTTGTTTGTGCGGACCGGTTGCTGGCAAGCCATGGCCCAGTGTCCATGGACCGGGGATTGGGGACTTCTTATCTAGGCCAACATTCATAGCACAGACACTGTTTGCATAGTTTTGAATGCAGATGGCTACATGTAAAATGCTTACAGAAAGATGTTTCATATGTGTAAAAATTATTTTGAAAGAGTTGCACAGGTGACTTGAACAATATAAACTATGTAGCAATCTAGTTTGATACAGTGACCTTCTGTAGATAGTTTTTTTTCAGTGATTACAGCTTACCATATCTGAAGTGCTAAAGAACATAAAAGTCCTAAACATTGCTACACGCTTAGTGAGTTTTAGCATCTTTTAGAGTTATCCCACCACCCTTATGCCTACATAATAGCAGTGAGGTGATGCTTTGCATCATTTCTACAATGGCTAAAGGATGCTATGAAGTCGCTCCTAAGTACCTAATGGGGAATTGCCTTTAGCATGTAAGTCATTCCCTTGCAAAATGAACAAAGAATCATACTACTTGTACCTTTGTTACTTTGTGCATATATTTTATTTAAATTCATTTAAACCATTTATAAATGTTCATTATAGACATATATGTTGCCCTGCTGTTTTTTACTAGAAGATATAGCCACTTTTTTGTTATGATTAAGATCAGATACTTAATATTTAACTGTTCATTATAAAATTATCATTTATCTCCCTCAGTGTATTTAAACATTATTTACTATGCGTGAATATGAGCATTCTGGCAACAAAATGAAAATTAGATTCATTTTATTTTAAATTTAGTACAAATTTACCTGTAAATATACTGCACATTTAAGATATTTTAATAGAAAGAGCTAAGAGAACTCATTAATTAATAATGTTATTTTGGTAGCAGTTGCACAGGAACAGCATTCAGTTTACTGACGGATATGAAGTCAAACAAGATATAGGAGTTGGATCCTATTCCGTTTGCAAGAGATGCATACATAAAACCACAAATATGGAATATGCTGTAAAGGTAATCACTGCCCAATTATATAAGAAATATAGCTATTAGTTGTGTTGCTGTTTGGATGGCCATGGGTTAGATTACCGAGGCTGAAAGTATAATTGAAGTTCTGACTCTAAAAAAATGTTACAAACTTCAGTAAATGAAATATTTTGAGAATCAGAAATAAACATTTATAGGAATGAAATGAAGTTCTTTAATCTGTTTGTCTGTCTGTCTTAAAGTCAGTTTTGGGCTCCTGGCAACTGTCTTAACAGTCCCTGCAATTTTCTTGACAGGTTTTCAGAAGTAGTTTGCCATTGCCTACTTCCTAGGGGTGAGAAAGAGTGGCCCATCTAGTTTCAAGCCTAAGGCAAGACTAGAACTTGCAGTCCCCTGATTTTTAGCTCAGTGCTTTAACTAGTACAGTAAACCAACTTTCTCTTTAAACTTAAAGGGAAAATACTGTTTTGAAGCTGGTTGTTCTTATAAAACATAATTTAACTTGGGGGGGGGGGGTAAGACCTAAAATGTAAGCTGTTAGTACTGTATAAAATTATTGATTTATATATATTTGCTCCTCTAGATTATAGACAAGAGTAAAAGAGACCCCACAGAGGAAATAGAAATATTGCTACGATATGGACAGCACCCAAATATTATTACTCTCAAAGATGTAAGTAGGTAATATAAGCATATTCACAGAAATTAAGTCATTAATATTAATGTGTTATTTGCCTTTATTAGCTATTAGGTTAGAAATTTTGTCCAGCATAAGTAATACATATATCCTGGGTTTTCTCTGGAACTGTGAACTGCAAATCTTTTTTAACCCCAAATACTTTGGCAGACTGTTTATTTAAGCTGAAAGAGATTGCCTTCTTTCTTGGCTGACAGAAGCACAGATCAGAGAAATGATCAATCTTAGTAAATAGGCCTGGTCTTCGATGTAGAAATATGATCTTAGAATACTGATAGATTTATAATAAAATCAATGAGGATGGCTTTCTAAGAACCTGAGGTAGTGAGTAGTGGCATCGATAGACCCACAGGTTTGCCAAGCATATTCTTGCTTTTTACACGTTGCTACTCCCCAGAGTTCCCCAGGAATAGGATGTATAATCTGTACAAAGCATAAACAAAAGATTATGGAGCTGCAACCACAACAAAAGAAAGACACCCCTAAAAATAATATAGGAAAATACAAACCCCCAGGTACAAACATTTATTTAGCAAATTTTCACAAAAATGAATTAATTCAGAAAGGGTACTTATGTTAGAAATTCAAAACTGAGAGCAAAAAAAGGCCTGTGTAGCCATGTGACCTGAATTCAATCCTTGCTGCAGCAGTGGCCATTTTGAATTCTGTGACTTGCCTGGGCCATTGGACTTACAAAGCAGGCAGGGCTTTTTTTTGTCCCTGGTCACATGGCCAAATGAGCTGAGCCAGCATTGAGTTTTTTTGTTGGTGCTGGTGGAGAATCTGTTGCTGCTTGGGCTTCAGGACTAGAACTTCTGTAAGTATTTTTTAAAAAAATTGTTGTTACTCTAGAAAAGGGCTTTTCAACTGGTGGTACGCATACTATCTGTGGTACTTTGGCACCTGGCAAGTGGTACGTGACCATCCTAGACAAGTATTGCAGGGGAGGGAAATGAGCTGAAGTGGCAGCAGCACCGCACAAGCCTAAAGGAGAGACAGCTGGAGCTGCAGGGCTGGGCAGAAGCCCAGGATTAGTGTAGCTACAGCTGATCGGCACATCTGCAGGGCTAAGGGGGCTGGGCAGAAGCCCAGGATCGGTGTTCGCAGCTACAGCTGATCAGCGCTTCTGCAGGCCTATAGGGGCTCAGCGGGAGAGGAAGAGGAAAAAAAAGACAACAGGAGAAAGAGAAGGGGACTGCAAAAGAGAGCCGGAGACCGCAGCCTTGAGAAGAATCAGCTGGAGGTGCATGGAAGAGAAAAGGAGGAGGGGGGAGAGAAGAGAGGATATAAACGAAGGGAAGGGAAGAGAGGATATAAAAGAAGGGAAGAGGAGAATATAAAAGAAGGGAAGAGAAGAGGATATAAAGGGAGAGAAGAGGATATAAAAGAAGGGAAGAGAAGAGAGGATATAAAAGAAGGGAAGAGAGGATATAAAAGAAGGGAAGAGGAGAATATAAAAGAAGGGAAGAGAAGAGGATATAAAGGGAGAGAAGAGGATATAAAAGAAGGGAAGAGAAGAGAGGATATAAAAGAAGGGAAGAGAAGAGGATATAAAAGGAAGGAAGAGAGGATATAAAAGGAGGGGGAGAGAAGAAAGGATATAAAAGGAGGAGTGAACCTGATTTCTCCATTGACTTTGTTTTTCAAAAGGTTGCAAAAGGGGATCACATGATCCTGGGACTCTGTGACCATCATAAATATGAATCAGTTGCCAAGCATCTAAATGTAAATTGACCCTCGGGATGCTGCAGTGGTCATAAGTGTAAAAAATGGTCACTTTTTTCCAGTGTCGTTGTAGCTTTGAACATTTACTAAGCGAAATGTTGTAAGTTGAGGACTACCTGTACTTTATCATTTTTTTCCCTTTTTTTGGTCATCAACTTTTTGACACCTTGCTAGGTGACTGGTGGTACTCGAATATCGCCATATCTTAAAAGTGATACAATCTGTGAAAAGTTGAAAAGCCCTGCTCTAGAACGCTTGCAAACAAATAGTTTGCAAACTATTCTTCTTTTTAAGTACTTACGTACTATTGTATTTCTAAGTATAGTACTTGTAGAAATGCTAGCCAGCCTCCTCACAAAGCATTCTCTAACATTGTGTTTCCTTGCTTTTATTTTGGAGATTAGCATATATTATTGTAGTTTGTAGGTTTTAAATTTAAATTGCCTCCAGAAGTTGTGGGTGTCTCATTACTGAAAGCTTTTAAGAAGAGACTCGAGAATTTGTGGCAGTGAATCTCTACCTTGAATGAGATCATTCCCTGCTCATTAAGATGCACACGCCTTGTTAAGTGCACATGAGGTATCTCAGGGTGGGGAAGGCCATGGGGAGCCCCCATGGCCTCCCCAACCCACTAAGATACCTCATGCTTCCCCCTCCCTTCCTGCTGTGCTGGACTCACTTACCTTGCAAAATCTGTCTCCTTTCTGCCGCAGTTTCTTTCCCTTTGAGAGAGAAGAGAGTTGGCTTGGAAATGCTTTTCATATCGACAATGGAAGCTCCTCAGTGCCGTAATATCATGCAAGTTCAAACATACATTCTCTGCAAAAGAGATCATGGCCACCTGAAGCTTCCATTCGGGGCGGGGAGAGTGTTTGCTTTGTTTGCATGCCTATGGGACATAGTGTGGAATTGGAGTTGGCCGGGCGCAGGAACCAATGCTATCCATGGCCCAGTGCACTGCTTGCTTACATGCGCCAAGATTTGCTGCACCAAATCCCTGCATTTTGAAAGCCCCACAGGCATGCAAACCCTTTTTATTTGAAGGAAAGAGAGATTGGAAGGTCTGTGTGTCTGCCAATGGGGGGGGGGCTTGAGGAAGGGAGGGAGAAGCAGTTGTAGGGAGTGGGGGGGAGAATAGGGTGAATGTTGCAGAACCTCTGCGGTCGTTTGTAAGGGCGAATGCCTTCCATGGTGCTGCAATATTCTTAAATTTGGGGCTTGTAAACACTAGGGGGCGCTCATCGGGTTAAGTGAAGGCTTGTAACTCAGGGATTAGCTGTATACACAAAGAGACAATACATTTCCAAACACAGATGTAAACCTTTCTTAGCAGAAATGATACTAAAGGTACAGAATTTTAATTGCTGAGAAATCAAAACATTAATACATGGTTTTAAAATAAATGAAGAAATGAATGAATAAACATGTCAGAGCTCTTTTATTTTTCATTCATTATATAGTGGGAGATTCTCTTTCCATTCAGCTATCCTTTTGGAAGACATCATTTAAAATAATTTCACATAGCCAATTTAACCAATATTTGTTTCTTGTTATTTAATTTTATCTTCCTTTCTGTGATTGTCATGCAATTTTAGGTTTTGTTGATCTTATTTAAGTTGCAGTGATTTTTTAAACTGAGTTATCCTTTATCTTGTGATATTTTCTGGGTTCTTCAGATATCATACACTATTTCAGGAGGTTATAACCAGTATTTTGAGGTTGATCCAGCAGGGTCCTTTTTTTGTGAAATAATTTTGTATGTCACTTTCAGGTGCATGTATGATTGGATATTTAATGTTAATTTTCAGGTATATGATGATGGAAAATATGTATATCTGGTAACAGAACTTATGAAAGGTGGAGAACTGCTGGATAAAATCCTTAGGCAAAAATTTTTTTCTGAAAGAGAAGCTAGTGCTGTCTTATTGACAATTACAAAAACTGTTGAATACCTTCATGCACAAGGGGTAAGTCTGTTTTTGTCAGCTATCTATTTTTAAAATCATTATCTATCAGGCTCTTCTGCAAAGAATTCTCGCGCAGTCTCTTTAACAAAACTTATTAGGAAGAAAGAGATGGTTTTACAAGAATTCCTTCAATTGAATTGTTTCCCATCTAAAACCAATGTGTACCAAAGAAAGACAGAGACTTCTTTATTTTTCTGGCTGTTTTTCTGGAAAGCTGCAGAAAAACTGACAGGTCTTTTCAGAGTCATGAAGGAGCCTGCAACTGATTTTGCATAAAAATCACAGTAATTTTTTGCTTTGTTTTTCTTAAGGTTGTTCATAGAGATTTGAAGCCTAGTAATATCCTATATGTGGATGAATCAGGCAATCCAGAATCTATTCGAATTTGTGATTTTGGCTTTGCAAAGCAGCTGAGAGCAGAAAATGGCCTCTTAATGACACCCTGTTATACAGCAAATTTTGTTGCTCCGGAGGTAAAATAACTATTCATTATTTGTCTGCATTTCCTGTGTAGAAAAAAACATGTAATCTGGCAATTCCTTTTTTCTTTAAATGTATTAATTTATGTTTAGAAAAATACAGACAAATATATTTAAAAAAAGATGGAAATCAGAAAAAGAAAAGAGAAGCAGGAAAGCCAAACTAAAAACATCAACGTGAAGTTAAATTTTATACCAAAGCTTTGGAACATGACTATTTATTATATAATTGTATGGAAGGGATAAATCATACTGTGATTTTGAAAAAAAATGTTAAGGAATAGCTTTTGGAAATAGGCTTTTTCTGGGTCTAAAGATACTAGTATAGTAGATTCCATTCTGTACTTGGTTATATCCAGTATATCCATTAATAAACATATTGTCTGATGCCTGATTATTTTTTTGTAAATCCTGACAGGGAGTAAATTATATCTGGCAAAACATTTTGCAACTATATAGTATGTAATCAGCATAATAAATACCTTAGTATAAAACAATGCTAGCAGTTTAACATCCTGAAAAAGATTCATTATTTACATCCAAAAGATTTAGGGTGGCTTAGCAAAGTCTTGTACCAGTCCCCTGAAAAGCCAGACAGACCAGGAGTATTACATATTGCAACAACTGTTTAGAATACAATAGTTCCTGGAGCAACAGAAGCACTTTTCACAAATCTGATTATTAAAAAACTGAATATCTACCAGACTTAAGTTGATTGCTTCCTGTTGGTCCCCCTTACTATCCAAAATATATATATATTGGGTTATAGAAAAAGGGAAAAATGATTATTAGAAGCAAAAGACAATCTAGCCATCCTTAGTGACAATTTCAGAATCTAACAATCTGTTTAACCAAAATTTCTAGCTGTGCAAAACGTTTTTCTCACTTCCTTGTAAAAATAAGCTATATACCAGTGGTTCTCAACCTTCCTAATGCTGCAACCCCTGCAGGCGGGGGCAGGAGGAGGGGCGGGGTTTGCTCGCTCTCGTTCTCTCTCTCTTTCTCTCTCTGGCGCACGCGTTCCACCTCCTCTCCTGTGGCTGGAGCGCACACCGGGCAGGCCGAGGGCGCATACGGGCGGTCACCCAGCAACTGCCTTGGCCCGGGAGCGCCGCGGAAGGCTGCGCCTCCCCCTCAGCCTGCCCACCCGCCCTCGGCCATGCCGCTCCATGCCGTGGCGCTTCTGCGTCATGATCACCTGCCTCAGCAGCAGTAGCAGGAGCCGCAGCGCTCACCTCGCTGCCCTCCTGCCCCACGCCTTGCTCCATGCAGCCCATCCCTCCTCCGCCAGCACCTGGCCTCGCCACCCAACGCCGGCGGAATCCGGCCTCAGCGCCAGCATGGACAGACCCGCTGCCTGGAGACAGATAGAGGAGCAGTGTCTCAGTTCCTAAGACCATTGGAAATATGTGTTTTCCAATGGTCTTAGGCGACCCCTGTGAAAGGGTCATTTGACCCCCAAAGGGGTCACGACCCACAGGTTGAGAACTACTACTATATACTGTAGGTAGTCCTCACTTAGAGACTATTTGATCAGTGACTGTTTAAAGTTCAATGGTGCTGAACAAATTATACTGATGACCAGTCCTCAAAGTTCCAGCCATCGTACCATCTCTGGAGTCACGTGATGTTGATCTAGTAACTTGGCAACTTGCTCCACTGATAGCTTTCTATAAACAAAGTCAATGGGGAAGCCAGCAGGAAAGATTGCAAGTTGTTCTGGCAAGTCTCCCTTTCCTTTCTCACATATGCCACTGCAGCCACCTGCACATCCTCCCCCACCTGCCTAGCAGCCACCCCTGTGCTGAAAATTGCTTGTGTTCTGTTGCAGCCATCTGTGCATCTTTCCCCACCCATCATCAGCCACCACCCCCATCCTGGGCGTGAAATCACTTGCATACACCGCTACAGCTACCATATCCCCCACCCACCCAGCATCAGCCACCTCATGAGGCCAAAATCATTCACATGTGCCACAGCAACCACTTTCATACCCTCCCTCACCTGATAGCCACTTAAATTCCTGCTGATCTGCAAGCCACCTGGTACCTCAACTTTCCTCACTGACTTAATTGTTCTTTATCCTACATATGGGACTATACATGCATTGGCCAAGCCTTGAAGTTTATGTAACATTCCTATCTTTTCCATATTTAAAGAATTTGAGGCTGATGATCATACACAAAGAAACCAAGAAATTGGATATGTGGCTTTCTACTTCTCTTTGAATTACATGAGATGTAATTATATGAACTGAATGGATTCCATGAGATGGTGAAACAACTCTGCAAATGAATTTATCTAAACTATTTTATTTTGATAGTGCTATATGGATTATCCATTATTTATGTGAATGATGTATTTCAGTTTCGGTTTTCTAGTCTTTTATAGTCCAGTGATTTTTAAACTGTCATTTTTACTGCAATGAGAGTTTGATTTAATAATTCAAATATTGTTTATTAAAATATTAAATTATTAAATTAAATTATCCAATTTGTACTTCAGTTTCTCAGTGATTTTGTAGTGAAAGTAATTTACAAAAGTAATATTTACAGTTAAGATAATTGCTTTTTCTGTATGATTTAATTAATAACATTATTTCCATAGGTGTTAAAAAGGCAAGGGTATGATGTAGCATGTGACATATGGAGTCTTGGTGTCCTTCTGTATACAATGTTGACTGGGTATGTTTCTATCAACTTACTTTATCCTGTATCTATATATTGCTAAAATTCTTGTGTCTGCAACCTTTAACTGGGCTAAAATGTGCATCACAGAGCAAACATTTTTGAGCCAAGATACCTCAAATTGGCTAACATACAGAACACATGGATCCACATAGCTTCAGTGGAATGGAAATTTGGCAAATTTCATAAAACATTTTATAATATAAAATTATCATAAGGTATCATAATACAAAATGTCATGAAATATTTGTTGTGGTCATCTCCTGATGTTCAACAAGGGTTAATTTCAGGGCAGATGTAACTCTGGATATCTTTGAATTTTTAAGAACTTTTCATGTTCATTAGAAGCTTGGAAAAAATATATAGCTATTATTAATCTTTCTCAAAGAGTTCACTTGTCATAGCTCAAATTATAATACTTCTAAATCTGTTCCAGTACTGAACAATTTTAGTACTGCTATATGTAATATATTACTTTTCTTTCCTAATTCTTTTTGAAAAGCTTTTTGTTCACATTAATAATTGCTAAGCAGTTACATAGTCTCATGAATAATTATTTCTACAATTTATATCAAGTACAGATAGTCCTTGATTTACAACAGTTCATTTAATAACAACAGCATTGAAAAAAGTGACTTATGCCCATTTTTTGCAGTTAACAACCATTGCAGCATAGTCACATGATCAAAATTCAGCCATTTGGCAACTGACTCATATTTATGTCAGTTGCAGTGTTCTGGGGTCATGTGATCACCTGTGATCTTCTGACAAGCAAAGTCAATGGGGAAACCAGATTCACTTAACAACTGTGCTACTAACTTTAACAACTGCAGTGACTCACTTAACAATTGTGGCAAGAAAGGTCATAAAATGGGGCAAAATTCAACAAATGTCTCAGAAAGACATTTTGGGCTCAATCATTGTTGAGAACTACCTATATTAATTTAGTATGTCAATTCTGATAATGGAATTCAGCAGAATTTTTTTTTAATATGTTAAAACAATTGTCTTTATTTAGTTATACTCCCTTTGCAAATGGCCCTGATGATACTCCAGAAGAAATTTTGGCACGAATAGGTAGTGGGAAGTTTTCTCTCAGTGGTGGATACTGGAATTCTGTCTCAGAAACAGCAAAGGTATGTTAATCATTGTTCTTGAGAGCTCATTCAGTAAGACAGGATATAAATCACTAAGTATTAATAATAGCAAGTTGCATCATGTTTTATGAGTGTAGTTTTTTTGGGGGGGGTGTATTTTTTGTGCCTTCAAGTCATTGTTGATTGCCTGGCAACTAGTCCATGGTAAGATTTTGGAAGTGGTTTGCCATTGTCTCCTTCCTAAAGCTGAGAGTGAGTAACTGGCCTAAGGTCAGCTGCTGGTTTTTTGTGCAAGGCAAGACTAGAACTCATAGTCTCCTGGTTTCTATTAGAATTCTTTATTGGCCAGGTATGATTGGACACACAAGGAATTTGTCTCCTATATACTCTCAGTGTACATATAAACAACAAAGTGATAGGTCATAGATCAAAAATCATAATTACAATCATTAATCGTAAGTTACAAACAAGTGATAAATCAGAAGATACCAATAGGAGAAGGTAGTTGAAAAGATGAGAAAAGAGAAGGATAATAGCAATACAGCATACTACATGGATAAATATAATTAGGCCTAAGACAGTGCTGTGGGAATTAGGTGTTCAGCAGAGTGATGGCACAACTTTGTGTCTACCGTATATGCCGGCGTATTAGGCGACCCGGCGTATAAGACGACCCCCGTCTTTATAGCTGGGCCGCATTCCTAGAATGTCGTCTTATACGCCGGAAACTACCAGTATTTCCGGCGTATAAGACAACTCGGCGTATAAGACGACCCCCGTCTTTGGCGCCGATTTCAGCGCTCGCGGAAGTCGTCTTATACGCCGGCATTTACGGTAGTTGTTTTTGCATGCAGTGCCCTATAGAAGCGTCCTGATGAGAGAAGTTAAAACAGTTTATGTTCAAGATACAAGGGATCTAGATATTTTAGATATCTACATTTTTGTAGAGATGTGAGGAGTTTGTAGATAGATATACCAGGGCTTTAGTCACTACATCAAACTGGCTCTATAGTATCATTACATATAGTGAAATAATTAGGCTATTACTAGGAATAAAGCTCAGCAGTTTATAAAGCCTTCTTCTTATATTAGTGATTGAAATAATTTGCTTTTAGATTTTGTATATGTATAGGGGAAGGGATGCTACAAAAATGGCCATTTTTAATTCCCAAGCTCAGTATTTAGTTCTTTTATTTCCTGTTTCCTTTTTTATATCCCTTATCTCTGTTTATGCAATTAAGTATAACCTGGGCATTTTTTAAAATAATCTTTTTATTAAAGCTTTATAAACACAAACTAACAAAAAGCAGTAGCTGGAAAGAGGAAGGAAGGAAGGAAGGAAGGAAGGAAGGAAGGAAGGAAGGAAGGAAGGAAGAAAGAAAGAAAGAAAGAAAGAAAGAAAGAAAGAAAGAAAGAAAGAAAGAAAGATGGGCAAAAGTGCAGAAAGAAATAATTGAAAAGGAAAAAATAGAAGCTTCTTATTTCTTTTGCAGCAAATATAAACACATTACAAAATTCTCTTACTCTGATTACAAAAAATCCCTTCATCCAAGGACCAAGGAATCCTTTCTAATCTGAAATGATGTTTAATACATCTGAATCAAATCCATCATTTTATTATTTTATAAAACTTGTGCAATTTAACTAATTGTTTACAGGACTTAGTTTCAAAAATGCTTCACGTTGACCCTCATCAGAGACTGACTGCTGCTCAAGTTCTAAGACACCCATGGATAGTTCACTGTGATCAGTTGCCTCAGTACCAACTCAACAGGCAAGATGCTCCACATCTTGTGAAGGTAAAAAAACAACAACCCAAAAACGTATGCATGCTGTTCCTTAGAGCAGCCCTTTATGGCACACCAATGGCATATATCGGACAACATTTTATCAGAACTGATATGCCCTTCTGGTCATCTAGAGGAAGCCTTCTAAGAATATACATGGAAGTGGATTAGATGGCAGGCTTCTCTACAGTAACCCCCATTCTGTGGAACTTTTCTTCAGACAGATCCTGTTGTGTTAGTTTTCCGGAAATAAAACTGCTTTATTTCAGTATGTTTTTGGTCTCAGTGAATGACTACATGGTAGCACTTATTAGGGAATTCATTTGCAATTTACAAACATTTCTTTTGTATAATCCTTTGTAATTAGAGTGAGCTATATAAATAGTTAAATGAATAAATAATCTGTTTACTATATTGTGATCTGCAGTTTGCCCCCTTATTTTTTTCATTACAGGTGGTCCTCATTTAACAACCACTTGTTCAGTGACCATTTGAACTGGCAACAGTGTTGAATGAGTTGCACTTACAATTGGTCATTGAAATTCTGGCCTTTGCAGCACCCCTCAACCATGTGATTGTGATCTGAGCACTCAACAATCAGCCTGTATTTCCGAACATCATGGTGTCCCATGATCACTTGATCGCAATTCACAACCTGTAGTGCTGGTTCCCCACAAGGAAAGTCAGCAGAGAAGCTGACAGGAAGTAGGAAGTTATGATCATGTGAAGTTCTCACTTAAAAACCCATGCTGCCCTCACTTAACAGTAACTGGGGATTGCTAGAATTGCCGTCTGTAAGCAGCACGATCAAGTGAGAACAAGGACTACCTGTATTGTACCATTTCCATTTCTAACAGTGCTTTGAAATTTGCACATTTAAGATTTTCTTAGTCAAATGATCCATTGAAGGCATTTTCCCTATAATCAATCTTTTGTCATTAAGGAATAAAATCAGTAATTGTTTATTTCTGTCAAGCAAGTCAATCCTACCCTATGGGCTTAAAAGGAAGACCATTAAAACATGACTATACCAGCAGGCCATTGAGGTTAGGACATTTTAATATAGTTCATTCTCGCTTTGGAGTATTTGTCTAATATAATTGAACTTCCCAGAGTTATGTATAGAGAAATGTACTTGGATTTGATCTTGTAAGTTTTTTTTATTTTTTAACCTTGTTTATGGATGTCATATAGAAATACCATTCAGCAATGTCAGCAACAGGAACAGTATATAAGTAAGCCCAGTAAATAATAAGCTCTTTCAGTGTTTTTCAAAAGGCAATTTATTGCTATTACATATGGGTTTAATAAAACTACAAAGTTTGTTTAACATACTTTGTATTTTTCTTTGTTTCCACATCTAATATGATAAAAATGTAAAACACTTAATAGAAATCAGAACACTTAGTAACCAGTGATACTAAAGGCACATATGGTATCATCTAACTAATTATTGTAGCTTCTGCACGATAATGGTTATTTGTTATTTACACAAATTCTTCTTCCTATTTGAGAACTGCAATTAGCATTATTAAGAACAAGTCTAAATCACATTTTCGTGAGAGTTGAGAAGTATACAGTGCTAGAATGTTGGACATTCCCTGTCAACTAATATTTTAAATGATTTGGGGATATTATTAACACGCATTCCAACCTGTAGGGATATTGCATTGTAGATTAAGATAAATAATTTTTATGTTTTTAAAAAATATTAAAATTCTACTTCATTAAACCCTACCGCTTGTTTAAACTCTATAATGTAGTCATTTAACCCAGGATTCAGAATTTTAAAAATCTTTTTATTTTTATTCCTAGGGTGCCATGGCAGCTACATATTCAGCATTGAATCGCAATCAGTCACCAGTTTTGGAGCCAGTGGGTCGCTCTACGCTTGCCCAAAGAAGAGGAGTAAAAAAAATTACCTCAACTGCTCTCTGAAATGACCTTGTGTAAAAAACTCGGTACCACAGTGAGTTGATAGCACAAATTATGGCAACAGGTAGCACATGCCCCAATTACCTGAAAGCACACTCTTACAGCTGGTACTGTTATACTGCTGCTCCTGCTTTCATCTTTTGAAAACTCTTAAAGATAAAACATTTTCCTTCAAGTGGAGGAAAAAGTGGAATCAGTGGAAAAAAACCTATTAATGGAAATAATTATGAACACCTCGCTACAATAGATACACTGAAGAGAAAGCACTCTGCACCATATAGCATTATTTTTATAGGGAATGTTTTTCCTCCCTTTAAAATAATTATTTGATACATGTAAGGATGGACAGTTTATGTTAAGCACTTACCTTAAAATATGTTTATATTAGCACTGTGTAATTTGTGCCATCCAGCATTTTATATGTTTTGTATATTTTTCCTAACAATACACTTACGTACTGTTTCCTTGTCTTTAGACTAATTGATTTGACAATTAAATCTGATTAAAATGTTAATCAGTATGATTGGACATCTCTAAAACAGCTTGACTGTTAAACAGCTATTGAATGTAATTCTGTGAATGTGTATTTCCTTGCTTGGATCTTCCCATGGACACATTAGAAATCTTGGGAATTGTTAAAGCATTTAATGGTATAAATGGAATCTTTTAATCACATATGTGGTTTATTATGTATGGAAGCAAAAAGGGTCTGCATATCGTCAAGATGAGTGTCTTTTTGTGAACCTCAGAAACTATGGCTAAATAGTTTAACTTTGGTTCAGCTGATGTTAATTGTAATTGGTTTTTCTTTGTTGCTTAAACAGCAACAGTATTTATTGCACAGTGCTGATCAGCAAATGGAGAGGGCAGAAATGTAATGTTTAAACTGAAATAATGCATTCTCCAATAATAATGATGTTAGATCATTTTTGTGACTAAAAAATTAACAGCAGGTCTGTTATACTTGGGCCACTTTCAGTCTATAGACAAAAGCAGCATTGAGTACAAATTGAACAGAATGTGTCCCAGTGTCTTCAACTGTTTCTAGGGGCTCTGCCTTCAAGGTTTGGTATGTTTATAGATTACAACCTTGAAGAATGCTGCATAATCAGATGCTAAGATTGTAATCATAAACATACATACTAAACATAATGGCACTACTTCTGAGGTTGTTTTTATCATTTTTATGGGAACTGGGGAAAACTTTCACCTCTTCAAATTGTCTTGGGATTACATATGTGAGATATCAAACTTTTATGTATTGCAAAATATAGTATGCTGAAGAAATGAAGAATTTTGGGTGGATCTTCAGAATTCTGCCAAAGAAATTACTCTTTATACAGTTGTAATATTTCTTTATTGTCTTGCATTTTGCCGATAAGTTAGTCTCAAATCATTGTGATAAATACAAAGCAGGCAATGAAATATATCTTTTTTTCTATCAAATGTCCGTGATCTCTTTAATCACTGGGTCCTATAGTTTCTTTGTCTTCCTTTTAGTTGATATTAATTTGTAGTATTTTCCAGGGTTTCATCTCATCTTTCTGCCGTACAGACTTATGCAACTGTTTCAGGTTACAACAGTTTTATTTGTACTGTAATTTAAAATCTTTTCACACGCTAGTTCTTAAATGAGTCTTTGCTTGTATAGATGCTGCCAGTTAACCACCAAGAGGCCTTTATTTCTTACTGTTGGTTAAACGTTGAAGTTTTAAAATGCTATTTTCTTCTGTTATGCTTGAAAATATTTGTTAATTTTGCTACATGTTGCCTCAAGATTTAATTGCAATGACAGATCCTAAATAGGTGATATCTAACTATGACCTATTTTGTAGTTATAGATAGCTTTTCATGACAGGGTCTAGTAACATGGGGACTGTTCATATGATTTAGATTTTCCACATGAAATACATGGGCATGAGCTGTTTCTTAGATTTGGATGGATGGAAAAATACGGTTTTATTTGCTGCAGTTTTCTAATTTGTCTATTTTTAATATTTTGAACACCAGTAGTTTTCAATCCTAATGTGTTTATTGCATTTACTTTGCCATGATTTCCCTAAAGCATCTATGGTGTAATTCACAACTACATAAACATGTTCTGGAGTGCTTTTTAAATTTTAAAGAAAATATAATGCTGAGTTTTTTCAAATAGATACCTTATTTTGATGTCTATAAACATATGTACTAATTGTTTTTGGACATGGATTAAATCTAACAAAGATACTGAAATGCTAAATGTTGTTGCTGAAGTTCCAGAAATTTCACAAAATGCTTATTCCATTTTGGGAGAAGATACAAATCTTTGCTTCTTTCTTAATAAGTAAAGAGCAGACATATAAGACATATTTATATCTTAAACCTTGGGAAAATGAATCCATTATTTGTTTTAGTTTGCTGCTCTACTTATTTTATTTCACTTTGCCACTGTATTTTATTGACTTGCAGGAAAAATATTCTATCTCTGCATGAACATTTTTAATAACCATGTTCCAAATGGAGGGATTTTATTAGATGTTTTAAAGATGCTATTCACAGTGAACTCATGCAGTTAGATTTATAATTAACAATATATAGTTAGAAGTTTCTTGTATAACATTCTGCAGGAAATAAATGCAGTCATACATAGGTCTGTATACATATTTACAAATACGTCTTCTCTACAAAATAATTTTGAGCAGTTGGATTCAAGCATATAATATTTCATATCTAATCTGTTTATAGTCCTAGCTTACCATGATCTTAAATGTAATGGTTAGAGAACATGAAGGTGAACACATTGGAATTTATCTATAAATAAAAAGCAGGTATTTTTCCAATTGGGTTGCACTGGAAATTTTAGATTCAATCTTATCATAAAATTTCATCTAACCTTAAGAAAAATTAAATTAAATAATTTACTTTCCCTAGACAGACTACCAACATTTTTACTTTATATAAAGCAATCATTTATGCATATTATATTTAAGAAAAAGAACAGTTCATTTAAATATTGTTATATTTACAATAGCTCAGTCATATTTTCCAAGTTACTTAAGAAAAATAGGTAATGTATTTATTCCATGTCTTTTTGAAAGATCAGCTTGAACATCTGATATTTCTTTTTCCATATCAAAGTCTAATCTACATTGGATGATTCTAAACATTATTTAACAGCATATGAAGTCAAGGATATTGTGCAATAGTTTGCACACTCTCAATCTTCTTAATATTGGTAAGTATTGTTCAGTTTGCCATATTTCTACAGGTACTCCATCAATTTCTTTGACTTTCCAACTTGGTAATGATCTATCTTCTAGAACTGAAAGTTCTTGTAAACAATGTATCTCTCCTAAGGTATTTTAGATGTTGACAACCCTTATTTATACACTTTCCACTTCTGTTTGATCTTTATTTAATCAATTACTGTCTGCTGATTGCTATCCTTTAGTATAGCAAATGGATGAATGTCCTGACATTGGAGATAGTTCTTTTTGGAAAATTTTTCTTCATTTTCTCTGTTTCCATCTTGGATGTCTTATGAAATACTTTCTTTTAACAATTTTCTGAAATTCCTCCCAGATATTTGTTTTTCTTGACTTTGCTATCTCTTCTTGGGAATACCTACCACTTGCAATGATATCATTCCAGTTTGATTTCTTCAGTGTCAGTGTTTGACAGTCCCTTTCCACATTCCTTCAAACATCAGCTTCTTTTACTTCATTCCACAGTTGCTCTGGTTTTCTATTAAGGTGCAGACCTTCAGAGCAATTCCTGATGTTGCCCCTTGAAAACAATGGGTATATGCTCAAAATCATATCAGGGAAACTGGTTGACTTTGTTCTTCCACTTTAGTTTGATTTGAAATCTACATATAGTTTGTGATCTGTTCCACAATCAGACTTTGGCCCATTTTTGCATTCTATAACCTATCTCTTCTACTTCCTTATACCAATAATATACTCAATTTGTTGTCAGTGTGCTCATATAAACGTATAATCCTTATTGTGATTGTTTGAAGAATGTGTCAGCAATGAAGAAATTATTGGATTGGCAGAAATGGATAAGTGGTTCTGCTTCATTTCTCTTCCCTAGGCCATGTAGTCCAACTACATTTTCTTCCTTATTGTTTCCAGCTTTGGCATTTCAGTCAGCAACCACAAGCAACACATCTTGTTTGGACATTATGTCAATTTTGGGTTGAATTTGGCTATAGAACTCCAACGTCGTCGTCGTCTTCTTCTTCTTCTGCATCAATGGAACTTGAATATCCATATTATATCGCCTGCAGAATCTAATTCAAAGGTGTCAAACTGCTGGCCTGTGAGCCGGCTGCATCATATGGAAGCCGCGCCCACCTCAGCTCCGCCAATGCAAAAAAAGTCACAATACGTCGCGACACATCACAAGACGCGGTGAGTTTGACACCCGTGATCTAATTGATATCAAGTCATCAAGCACTGTCTTTACTACATCCTTCCTGACTATGAAAGCAACACTTTCCACTTAGTGGAATTATTCATTGTCCTGGATAATAAACAGTATGATTTTCCAACTGAAAGTGCCCAATTTCCAGTCCATTTCAATTTCCTGATGCCAAAGATGTTAATGCATAGTTTATACTTTGTATCTTTTATTGTGTTTAAACTTCCCATAATCATGTTTTTAAGTTCCATGTTCCCTCCCTAATTTTGTCTTTGCAGCCTTTGAATTTTTTTCTTGAATGGCAATATCACTAGATTTTCAGAAAACTTTAATTGCATCATAAATATCATTAGTACTCCAAAAGGTCCTCAGCTTTTCTTCAGTAGCATATAAATTATTGATTGATAGTAATGAATAGCTTTTGATGCTGATGTATATATATCTTGATACTTCTGACCTAAACAAAAGAAAGTCCACTTAGAAGGGATACAGTTATTTTACCATTTTAATGACAATGGGGCAGGCAACTATTTAAGAAATTTTAAAATACATATATAAAATATTTTTATATGGTTCTGTACAATAATTCTTTATATTTCATAAGCATAGCATGCAAATATAAGATATAGTAACACGCTTAACTGTACTGTATCTTTCAGACAACATTAAAGTTGCATCTATCAGATGCTTTCATTAGCATTGCAACTAAAATGCTGGTAACTAGGCAAAAAGCATGGGATACTTTTTATTATTTTATTGAGAGCTTTCTCTGTTTTTAGAATATATGTGTGTAATCTTGTTTCCAAACATTATCACATATGAGGCTGGAAGGATACTAATGCTTGTATTCTTGTCAAGAAAGGTTTTGTAGTCTTCAAAAGAAACTCAAATGATAAAGCAAATAAACTTTGAAAATACTGCATTTATGAAGCATTTTATTTCTTCTAGGTGTCTGTTGCAAAGCAGTTCTATTTCTTCACTTCTATGTCTCATAGACAGTTTCAAGAATTTAATAAATAAGTTTGTTGCTATAGAGATCTACAAGTCTGAGTTTTATGTAGTTAGCAAGCAATATTGAGGGCTTTCTATGACAAGTCATGAAACATACATAAAAGTTAAGAAGAGGAAGAAAAAATCGAATCCTTTAGAATAAATAGAAGACATGCCTAAGATTGGGCTGCTGTTTTTTCTCTAACATCTGAGGAAGGTAGAAGCAGTATTGCTCTATGTTACAAGAGAAAGGATCAAAAGAAAGACCCTTAGCAGAAAGCTAAGAAATAAAATAGAATACTATTTTCTCAGTTAATGTCTCAGTTAATTGTGGCTAAATTTTGGAAAGTTAGTTTTTATTCAGATAGATACAGCACTATGAATATCAGATTGTTATGTACTTCATGGACTCAGCTGTTAGAATTGCTCTGTATTTAGATAATTTTTATTTTAAAAAATAATCGTTATAGAAAGCAAATATATTGCCAGCATCATATTCAGCAGGTCAGAGGTTCAAATCTCACCGGCTCAAGGTTGACTCAGCCTTCCATCCTTCCGAGGTAGGTAAAATGAGGACCCAGATTGTTGGGGGCAATGTAAAATATATATATACATTGCTTACTGGTGTACACCGCTTAGACAGTGCTTGCACTTAAAGCGGTATATAAGTCTCATAAATAAATAAATAAACTTAGGCTCATACTTTAGGATGTTTTCTTCCTATAAATTGGCAATAATACTAATCTACAATGATGGGTCTTTGCATTCAGCTATATTTGCTGCCATAGTATAAAATTTTTGAGCAGGTATGAGGAACATATTTTAACCGCAAAGGTTCAAATATTTCAGAAGATTGCATATCTGATGTATACATTCCTGATTGGGGCCAGCCAATTTTAAGCATGCACTTTCACTTTATTCAGTTGCCATTCATGCTGTCTCTGCTGAGGTCATCCCAATCCATAGAAGTACTACATTGGGGGAAGGCTCGCATAGCTTTTCGTTCCTAGTCTAGAGTTAATTATCTGGTTTATATAGTCCTGTCTTTGAAGCGGTCGAATGTCAGCCTTGTTCTCTTTCACCTAACATCCACCTAACAGGTACAGGTGCAGGAAACATACCACAGAATTAAAAAAACAGCTACATGATTTCTTGGAATAAATTGGGTCTAGAAATTATAATTACTGCAGAACTGAAAAGAGGTAATCTTTATACACAGAACATGCAGAAACTGATGCTTAAAATCTTTGTGAGGAAAATTTTAAACACAGAGTACATTAAATACATTCAATTATTAAATTTATAAATTTGAGAAAGGATGTACACCCACTTTATATACGTTCATTCCAGCCTAGCCCAAGCCTTCTTAATTTCGGTAGCCTGCTTACAATATACTTCTATGGAACACCAAAGAAGTGCATTTCTCTACCAGACCTTACTTTAGAGCAGGGGTGTCAAACTCAATTTCACTGAGGGCCACATCAACATTGCGGTTGCCCTTGGGGGGGGCAGGTGGGTGTGGCCACAGTGGGTGTGGCCTACTGGGTTGGAATGGGTGTGGCCAGCTCTACATCATTCGTCAAGGGTGCCTGTGGGAGCCTGGGCAGGAGTGGGACAGATCTGAGAGTCTCTGGCAGAAGGGGGTGGGACCAGGGCAAGTACCAAGGCATGGTCCAATGGAGGAGCCTCACTGTTCTTCTCAGGCCATGCAGGGGGGCTGGATAGTGGCATGGGCTGCCCAGAGCCTTGGGCAGCAGAGGTCAAACACCCAGCCTGGCCCTCGAGCACCCACGGCACCAAGCCCAGCCCACGTCCCCAAGGGGGCACCCAGATGCATTTACCTCCTCAAGGCTGCTGCTGCTGTACTTACTCTCTTTATCCAGGTTGCTCATGATGGGTACGAGGACAAAGTCAGAGGGAGGCCCATTCCCTCTCCATGGGAGGAGACCCAGCTTTGTATCCAAAGTTCCTTAGCAATAGGATGGGAGACCCCCCAGGATAGGTCAGGAGGAGGGGGCAAGGGGATGGTGAAAGGGCAGCAGAGCAGGACTTCCCTCAGACCCTCCCTCTCCTTTCTTTCTTCCTAAGTACAGAGTAGTGGGAAAATATTTTGAGATGAGGGAGGGAGAAAAACAGGCAAGAAATGCAGCTGGGGAAGTGTCACCCTTTATGAGGAATGAAGAAATGCACCGTCACCTGGAAGTGGCCAGCACATGGCCCTCACCTACTTCACATATCTGGCTTGGTGGGTTCTGGGGGAGGGAATGCCATGAGCAGCGTGAGAATCAGCTTTGCACCTTGCTGCCTGCTGAAACTGGGCAGGCTATGGGCTAGACAGCATTGCACTTCTCATCAGATTCGCACCACCCGGCTCAGCTCTTGGCGCTGTGAGGAGAGCGCCCTGCTGCCTGCTGAAACCAGGCAGGCTGGGAGCTGGGCAGCCTTGTGTTTCTTTTTGGATTTGCGCCGCCCAGCTCAGCCTCTCGGCACTGTGAGGAGAGCGCCCCGCTGTCTGCCGAAACGCCTCCCCCAGAGCCCATCAAGCCGGATATGTGAAGTAGGCAAGGGCCATTTGCTGGCCACTTCCAGGCGATGGTGCATTTTTTCATTCCTCACAAAGAGTGACACCTCCTCAGCATGCACCCAGAGAGTGCGGCCGACGTGGCAGGGGCTGGTTCCTTGCTGTTTCCAGATGGCCTTGTGGAGCTAAGACTAAATGCGTTTCAACATAGATGGCCACTACAAAATTGTATATTGGCTCCCGGCCAGCCTGGGCCATGGCAGCGGGGGCCATTCCCTCATTGTTTCCAGGATGGCTTCGCGGGCCATATGAAACCACTTTGCGGGCCGCATCCAGCCTCCGGGCCTTGTGTTTACATACCTGCTTTAGAGAAAGTGGGGAAGAAGGTAATCAGGCTACATATCCAGGCTGTGAAGCAGCAAAGGCAAAGAGATATAGAAACTCGAAACTTGTTTGAATTTTTACAGTCCAGGTACGGGATTTCTGGTGGGCTGATGGTTAAAGGATAAGTTAGTAAAATTGCAGCAATGAATCAGGTACCACTGTTTGGAAGGAGGCTTACGGCTATTTGTAATGCTTATGGATAAACTACTATGATGTCAAGTAAATAGGCAGTAATATACACATTCCTCAATTAATTAAATGGAATGGATTTCCAAATAGTGTAGTGAAAACGTCACACCTCACCCCGAACTCTACCAGCTCGTAGGACCGCCTTCCTCAGCACTGATTCCTCCCACCGGCGGAGGGCGCTAGAAAGGCTCGCGATCTCCCGGAGGAAGTTGAGAGAGCGCGAAGCGCATTCTGGGACCGAGATTTTCTTCCGCCTTTCTTCTCAGAGGGCTTTGGCAGAGGCCGTATCGACTTTTACCTACTATTGCGCGACGTCACGCTGTCAGTTTCTCCTTTTGCTCTTTGCCTGAGCCAGCAGTGTAAAAAAGGGCTCTTTCCTTTTCGTTCGGGCTCGTCAAGGCTGTGTCCGCCGATTGGTAGCTGCCACCATGCCGAAGAATAAAGGTGAGGCCTTTCTGACACCCCCCCCCCCAATTTGGCTTCCATCGACTCCTCTCCCTCCCCACGCCGTTGTCTGCAGATGAATCCCCCGAGGAGAAGACGCCGGTCGCCTCGTCGGCCTGGCTCTTTCCGTGCTTTCTTGGACCCAAGGGCTTTAGTTTTGTACGAGGACTTCTGTTCTCCACGTGTTTCGCTCCGTGCTTTCTCCCTCGTTTCTGGGTGAAGCCTTTTCCTAAGATAGTTGACCGAGAAATAAGTCTGCTTACAGACCTTTTCTAGACCTCCTTCCAGTTACGTGCTGCTACATAACTCTCAGAGAAAAGTAGTCTCTCTTTAATAAAGTGGAGCTTACTGCTAAGGGTATGGTTACAGGTTGATTCTTCCTGGTTTTGACCGGATATTATACATTTAACAGAAATGAGAGGCTGTTGGTTTAATTTTATGAATCATAGGTTGGCCTTGATTTTTAGATAATTGATATCTGGATTTCTTTTTTGGCCTCTTATTTTTGTCAATAGAGGGGTATAAGAATACCTTTCAGAACTGTTTAGAGACTGTCCCTACTGTTTATTACCAGGATACGCTTCCCTGTGATGTTTAAAAAGATCCCACATTGATGGAACATTGAATATGTTTTTATCATTTTAATATTGAAAATGAGTATTTCACTACTGTGAAAACTAAACTGTGGTGGTTCATTAACATTCAGAATTGAAACTGTTCTTAATTGCATATGTGTAGACCTGTATACCATGTGTGTGTGTATACACAGGCAAGCATACAAACATATATCCATACAAAATATTTAGAAAGCACCCTGGCTTGCTTTCTTTCATCTCCACAGCAAAGTAGAAAAATATACCAAGATTTGCAAATATCTGAACCAAAAATTATTTATATCCCACCTTTAAAATATACCCCCCCCCCCAATAACCATGTGAGAAGAGTTGGGCTGAGAGTGCCTGGCCCAAGGTCACCGAGCTGGCTTTCATGGCTAAGGCGGACTAGATAAAATATTGTTTATTTAATTCAAGGTTGTATATAGCTTTCCTAGTAATTGATTAAAGTAGTTTTTACTGATCTAAAATGTCTGGGAAGTTGTACTTCCATAATCTCCAGATATTCTGGTCCTATGGACTAGGTATTCCTGTTTCCAGTATCACTAGGCTAGGCAAATCTAACCTACAGTTTTTTTAGAGTGTGGTTCCACGTTTGCATGTAAGTATCTAAACTTTTGTTTCTTGTAATAGTTGCTATTGTTAATTGCAAGTTTAAGCATCTTTGGTATTTTTATTGCTATTACTTTAATCCAGCTATATAGAGTGGATATAGAAAGTCAGGTTTTTGAGATATAAAAAAAAAATCAGACCAAGGTAATCACTTTATAATTCTTTCCACCTTTAGCATATAAGCTGTACAATTCAATTGAAAAACAAATATTTTAAGGAGAGAAAATAAACTTACAGTGATGTGGTTGCATAAAGATGCACATGCTAAAATTAATACTTTGTTGAAGCTCCTTTTGATTTTAGGACAGCATTCAGTCTTTTGGGATAGAAGCTTATCAGCATGGCACATCCTGCTTAGGAATCTTTGTCCACTCTTCCTTGCAAAAGTGCTCCAGATCTGTGAGATTTTGAGGACATCTCTTGTGCACAGCCCTTTTCAGGTCATTCCACAGATTTTCAATTGGATTCAGGTCTGGGCTCTGGCTGGGCCATTCCAAAACTTTGATCTTCTTCTGGTAAAGTCATTATTTCGTTAATTTGGAAGTAAACTTTGGGTCATTGTGTTGAAAAGTGAAAGTTCTCTTCATCTTCAGCATTTTAGCAGAAGGTTTTGTGTCAAAATAGACTGATATGTGGAACTGTTCATAATTCCCTCCACCTTGATTAAAGCCCCAGTTCCAGCTGAAGAAAAGCAGCCCCAAAGCATAATGCTACCATAACCATGCTTCACTCTGGATATGATGTGCTTTTGGTGATGCAGTGTTGTTTTTGTGCCAAACATACTTTTTGGAATCATGGCCAAAAATTTCAACCTTCGTCTCATCAAACCATGCATATTTTCCCACATGGTTTTGTCAGACTTTATGTAGGTTTTTTCAAAAGGCTTGGATGTTTTATTTGTAAGAAAAGGCTTCCCTCTTGCCAATCTACTCAACAGCCAAAATGTATGAAGAATACAGGAGATTGTAGTTACATGTAGTACACAACCAATACAATCAGAAATTCCTGCAGCTCCTTTAATGTTGCTGTAGGCCTCTTGGCAGCCTCTTGGATCACTTTTATTGTTTTTTCATCAGTTTTGGAGGGACAAACAATTCTTCGTAATGTCACTCTTGTTCCATATTTTCTCCATTTTTTGAAGACTGTTTTCACTGTGTTCCAGTGGTATATCCAATGCCTTAGGAATTTTTTGTACCTTTCTCCTGACTGTTACCTTCCAACAATGAAATCATCTTGTTGCTTTGTACACTATGGCTTTTGCTGTAAGAGGTAATTGAGTAAATGTCAGAAAAATCCTTCTAGCATAGCTGAATTTTATATGAGCATGATCATTTAATTGAGGGCAGGGGTTTACTGACTACTATTTACTGTAGGTTTGAATGTGATTGGTTAATTCTGAACACAATCACATCCCTAGTTATAAGAGCCTGTGGACAATTCTGCAGCCACATATTCTAGTTTTTCATTTTTTCCACAAATTGTTTTTCAGTTGAATTGTACAGTTGATAGGTTGTATTAAAGGTGGAAAGAATTCTGAAGTGATTTATCATGGTCTAATTTTTTTTACATCTCAAAAACCTGGCATTTTAATAGAAGTGTGTGGTTTTTCTATATCCATTGTATTTGGTATTAGATGGAAATCTAATGTATCATAATAATTTCACACTTTTTGGAAAGGGTCTAACATAGCTCTGGTATCAACAATAGTGTTATTGGAAAGTTTCAGATTTTGCCTTAAACCAGCCACCCCCAACCTTTCCAGCTCCATGGACCAGCAGCAGTGGATGGCAGGGAGGATGGTTTCATGCATGCAAGCTAATCCCACACATGTGCAAATAGAGCTTCATGTGCTCACCCGCCACTTGCACAACCTGGTTCCCAGCGACCCGGGGTTGGGGAACCCTGCATTAAACTATTACTTTTTCATTTTTTTTGCAATTTAGGAAAGGGAGGTAAAAACAGACGACGAGGTAAGAATGAAAATGAATCTGAAAAAAGAGAATTGGTTTTTAAAGAGGATGGACAAGGTAAGATGTATTGTCTTTTTTCACTTTTTAACATTAAGCGGTTCCGTAGGAGGAAGGCTTATTTGTGGTGTTCTTGCAGAAGATTGTATTGGTATATGAAAAATATAGGCCTCACCCAAGTGATGTACTCTAACAACAAGAACATTTTTTGTTGAAAAATTGGTAGAACATGCAGAGAGTACTTTTTGGGAAAGTACTGTACTGCATTTGGTGTGTGTGTGTCTATAGTAAAAAAAATATCTGTTTCTTTGCACACTTTCATTACTGGCATCAGTTATTTAGTGTTGACGTATTCTTTTAAAACCCTATGCTGAAATAAGGTAAATTATTTCAGAAGCTTAAAATCTTATTTTGTTTTTAAAGTAGCATCACATGTAAAACAATTAATCCTGTATTATATTGGATGCCATAATATTAATTTACATTTTATTGGACTCACAGGAAGCCATAGAATGAAAAAAACAAAACCTAAAAATATATAAATTAATGTGCTCATATCAAATAATATAGAGGTCATGTGGCCTGTTACTAATATGTTTTTTTTTCAAAAAAGCATATTGATTTGAAAAATGTAGAATAGATTTAATTCTAGGGTAAGATATCCTACATTAGTAATAAAATTTTATTTTTAATTGAAGGGATGAGAATTTGCAGATTTCTAGTCATTGGGATGATTTTCGTGTGTGTGTGTGTGTGTGTGTGTGTGTGTGTGTGTGTGTGTGTGTGTCAAGTGAGAGAGAGCCAGAAGGGAAAGGGAAGAGAAAGCTGAGGTGTTAGAGAGAGAGAATGAATATTCCTTTGTGAATGGGAGAAAGGTTGTTTCTTTTGTTTTTACAATGGCAGTAGCAAATAGTACTTGCTGCTGAACTGTTGCTGCCAAGGCTTTTGATACATTGAAGCATTCCAGCTCAGCAGAGCTTATCTGGACATTTTTCTTGGAAGATGAGCAAGCTGAGAAATCTGTCAATTACAAACCCAAAGAGCTGAGTCCCAGTTCCAGGAGAGAAAGAACATGTACTCGGTCTTCTGTTTATGTACTCCTGTTCCTAATTCCACTACAGAAGATTCTCATCTGGAATTGGAAACAAGAATTCCAACATTTAGAATTGCAATGGGACCACATAAAAACAAAATGATAACAAGGCAAAGGAGTGGCAACTTGCTTGGAAAGGAAAATGATAGGAGCTGAAGCTTTACAAAATCTTGACTCTAGTGAATCAGGACTGGAAAATTAAGGATACCCAGAGAGTTAATCTTCTGCTGGAATACTTCTCTGATAGCCTTCTTGAAGCTATATATCACAGGGACTGCATGAATTCCTGATCTTTAGATTGGATATGTAACTCTTGAGAGACACAAAATAAATCATGATCATGGAACAGACCGAGATATTGGAAGAATTAACTATTAATTCTTTATAGAATTAATTCTCTGTTAGGATTTAAATAGAAAAATCATTACTCTCCAAGCTCTCATGCAAAACATGTTGATGCATGGCTTAGTGATTGAGCTTTCACATATTCTTTTTGGAAGGACAAATGGGCACCCAATCAACTCCTAAGTAGAGCAGTGCCAAAATCTTTAGCAGGAGAGAGAGGGAGCTGAGTAGGACATTTTTGTGTTTAACAAAGGAAGAAAAGGCACCCCACAGAAGAGAAAGTCTTTGTTTATTGTTGTCACCCAGAATAGTTTGTATGTCACTATATAGAAGAAAGAAAACAGACAAGAGAAGAAATGGAAGGCTACAAACCAGTGGAGCACTTGACCTGAGAAGTGACCAAAACTTCTCCAGTGTTTTTCAGTACACTTTCCTTTTTATGTTTACATCTCAGTGACTCAGTTGTCAGGTCTGCCTTATCATTACTGTTTCAGTTTTGATGGGTTCAAGTAATTTCACAGGGCTGGAGTTTACTTTTACTTACCCAGAATACCATGTCCGCCATATGAAATTCCAAATGCCAGTGAGCTACATTACTGTGAAGTATGAAGGAATCTTAACCTACTTTCCAAACATTCTGAACTTTGATATATCCTCAATAGAAAGGAAGCAAGCCAATTACCTTCCCACAGACTATACAACTGTGTTATAAATATGTCACATTCTCAAACACGTTTTTATTCTGTCTGTACTTGAACAAGAAGCTTAGGCGCGAAGGCAGATACTAAATCTTGCCAGTGACAGCTCCTGTCCAATATCCCTAGAAAAGTCTAGGAAATTACATTTATATAATAATTATAGAATGACAATCTGATTAATACTTCAGAATAAATGACAATGCATATTTATTTTAATTTATTAAAATGCCTTCATTGCTACCTCCACTAAGCAGGATGTATTGAGGCATTCAGCTTAGATAAATCACATTTGTATGAATGAATTCTTGCATTGATACAGAAACTAGCAACTATTTTGTACACATTATACGGGCTTCTCTTAAACATCAAAGCATGGGAGAAAGAAAACAGCTGCTTTCAATTATTTATGTATCATGTTCTCATTTGAAAATAAATTACTTTTGGAGTTTTATGCTATCATCTCATTTCTCAATAAATTTTAATAGGATTTATTGTTCCTAGACAATTCATTTCCAGTCTGATTACAGTATCCTGATTACACTATGTCACTGTATTACACCGTATTACGGGATAATGTTTGATTCTAAAGGTTCACATTCCTTTTACCATATAAGGACTTCTGAGTCAGCAATAATTTGCCAGAGAAACAGCATATTTTATTAAATGTACTTTATTATTTTTTTAAAAAGAAAAATATAAAACCAAACACATTATTAAGGAAGAAGATAGGGGCTCATTTATGGTTTTAAGAGCAAGCAGGGTTTTTTAATGTATGATTAGCCCCAAAATATATTTAGGTTCTGAAAATCTACAAAATTAGAAAATACTTTAAAAATAAAGGCCATGCTGAATTTGCTATAAACCTAATTACTACCATTATTTGACATGGTAATGAATGGCATACAAACTAGAGTTCACTGTAGTAGAGTTGTAATTGTGAAATTTCCCTTCATTTAAAGTCTTTAGATTTTACTTTACAGTGTTGTACATCACATCCTAATTTTATTGTTCCACAAGATGTTGCTTCTGTGGTTCATCTTTAGTGGACATGTAAAAAGTTATTGGAATCAAATGTGTACTTTAATTCAGAGGATTCTTAAAACAAATGTACAGTTGAAACCAGTTTTTCTTTCTTCCCCTTTCAGAAGAAAACTGATACCCAGTGCAGCTCACACAGTAAAAGTATTCCTTGACTGTTTTAGGAGTCTAAAATTGCCCACACATCTGCATTTTGTACCAGCTGAAGCTTCCAGATACTTTTCAAAGTGCTTTTATATGTATGTGTGGCATTGGCACATACACGAAAAGAGCAGGGCTTGCATCACAACACCATGTCTGCCATCTTGACTTTTTTGACATATAAGTACCCCATGAATACCACTGCACAAATAGGTAAACTCATGTACCATTATTTCCAGCAATTTAAAAAGTCAAATACAACAGCTTGAATTGAGATTGAAAGAAGATGGGCACTCATACAGCAATATGTTTTAAGAGTAACCAACAATTTGCTGTACCAGTTCAGGTTTAGAGATTTTTTTTTTAATTATACTTTTATTTAAAAGGTAATAAAAGCCTACAAGCCTACAACATGTTTACCTTATCTGGATTTAGTTTATTTATTGTTACCCATCTGGATCTTCATATTTGACAGAATATGGCTCAGTATTTTACTACTTTTCTTAAATATGAGAGAGGGAAATAATGAGTTGAACAGCAGACATCTTGATTGAGATCAGCCCTGGATCTTATGATGCATTTTGTTTTAAGATCCTCACACCCCAGATCTGAAATATCTACACACAAACTTTGCTTTTTCAATATGTGAACCCTGAGTCAATTGATGGATGATGAAATTCAAATAGCTATAGCTACTTTGTGATGCAAGGTTTTTAAAATCAACTGTCATATATTAAAATCTTGAGACTGTTTCTCTCTGGTATAATAGCTATAAATGTGTTACATAATTATCAAATTCTTAAATCATGTGTTCCAGAATATGCCCAAGTTATCAAGATGTTGGGAAATGGCAGACTGGAGGCATTATGTTTTGATGGTGTAAAAAGGCTGTGTCATATCAGAGGAAAGTTAAGAAAAAAGGTATGTTAATGCATTCTGATATAGGGGCAACCTCAAATAAGTTGGTATATTAAACAACTAATGTGACAGTATAGTATATATATATATATCCTGCTACTGGTTCCAAGGTCTTGATTTCGTGGAGTGACCTGTGCCTTTCATAGCACAATACTTCTTTTACAGATAAAACTAGTGACTCAAAAAGCATTTTATTATCCTGTGTTTTGACTGCTGCATTTGCTGATTTTACCATTACTATTTTTGGTTTTCTTTTTTATACATCTTTTATTCTTGCTGTATCTTTTATTCTGCTCTAATTTCTGATGCCCCTGGAGGTTCTACACTACAAACACGTAATATGTCTTGTAATTGTTCTATGAACGGAACCCTGAATTTGGATCTTCCATGCCTTGAACTAAAATGTCTCAGATTTTTATTTTTAATCCATGCACAGAACAATATTGGGCTGTTTTCATCTGGGTGGAAGTGGTTAAGTGGGAGGTAGAAGAAAGCCAAAGAACTGAATTGGCAGCTGAAGGAAAAAGGCTGAACAGACCAGTGGGATGTGCTGTGCTTGAAGCTAAAGGGGAGAAGAGAAAGATGATGTGCCTCATTCCTGCCTTAATTACTTTCTTGGATTTGTTTTGTCTAAAACCTGAAACAATGAAAGCACATTTGGTTCTGCCAAATCTTGGATGACTCTAAATGGTTTGATAGAACCCATGAAACAATTATTTTTCTTAGATTTGAAACATTTTTTTCCTGTTTTGCACATACACCTGGTCTGTATATTTTGTTTGCTACTTTTTACCATTTTCATTTCCAGCTGATTGTGGTTCTGGTGGTAAATACTTCCTATTTTAAGAATTTCACTGATTATATCTCCTCCAATTTTCCTTACACATTTTCTTTTTCCTTGCTGTTTTCTACATTGCATGCTGTTTTGAGCACTGAAAACACTTTTTAAATAAGACTAAATTAAACAGTTTCTGTAGTGCTGTTCCAGTTCCTGGAAATCTTTCTTCCTTCTCTATGAACTGTTACTCTACCTCTCTGTTACTTAATGTATCCCATTGCTAATGACTCATTGCAGATATTCTCCCCACTAACTGTAAGCATGCAGCATTTTGGATCCATTCTGTATTAGCATTAAACATTACTTTATAACTCAAAGCCTCAATGGTACAAGGTTAATGGAGTAGGTGCTGTTGTACATTATCCAAACTTTTAAAAGTTTAAAAATTTCTACAATCAGAATGTTGAAGGTTGAACATGGCATCTTGTTACTTTTTTTCCGTATAGTTTTTCTGCTCCAGAGTGCATAACTAAATGTGAAGACATGCAGGTAGACCCAAGTGTGATTTAACCTCTACATTAGTGTGCAATATTATGCACACGTCATATTATATTCAGCAACTGATCAAGTACTTGAATTATATAGCTTTCACCAAGATTTATTGCTTATCTCAGCCAATTACAAGTCTTTTAAAGATTACATTTCGTTAAGTGTTTCAAGTGAGAAATATATTTTTTAAATGTTACTGTGGAAAAAAGAATAAAATTTCTTTCAGTTCTTTCTTTTGATTTTTAGGTTTGGATAAATACATCAGATATCATACTGGTGGGTTTAAGAGACTACCAAGTAAGTATATTATGTTACTGTTATTACATAAGGCAATGTAATGACAGTTTGGCTGATTTTTTGTCAACAGAAGGTGGAACTCATAAACACTGATTTAGTCATTCACATTTATTTTTATTTTCTATGAATGTAAAAAATGTAAGGATACTTTTCTTCCTTTGGATGTTTTTTATAAATCTTGAACAGTGCTTTAGGTAAAAAATAATTTAACATTTATAAAATTCATGTTTAAGCATAATTTATTTAAGCCTAAATTGCTCAAAGATGTAACATTATCTTTCAAAACAGACAATATACAGGTTACAGGATAAGAAGAAGACATCTTTCTTTGACCTTAGGTAGTTTTGCAGGAAAGTTGAGTCATGTCATAAACAGGTAGTGTTGAATAAGGATATGATTATGAGACAATAATATAAATGATAGACTATATGATATTATAAACTATGCGTGTTGATTCATCTTCAAACATAAGTATGTAAATGCGTTGTTCTAACCTAGGCTATATTAGTAGTAAGACCCAGAGTTACTTAGCATAGTATTGTAATCTCAGTACAAATACTGTGTTTCCCCGAAAGTAAGACCAGGTCTTACTTTCTTTTGGCCTCTGAAATAAGCACTAGGGCTTACTTACTATGGGTTCAATCCATAGCCCAGTGCCTGCAGCACCGAGTAGACGTGCAGGCTGACGCTTAGCAGCCCAAAGGCGGAGGTGCAGGTGGCAAGGTTCCACCGTCGGCCGCTGGCAAAAGGCCCTGGCAGGCCAGTGGCGAGGGGGTGCTCCGGAGGTCGAATGGAAGATCTGGGCCAACTCACCCCGCATCAGGCAGGAGCATCCCAGCAGGGCGATCCAGAGCAGCATGGCCAGGAGGGCAAAGAGCCCCTGTGAGGGCAGAAGCAGCACAGGCAGCCACTTGGTGCCCGCCGTGGGCAATAAGTGTCCCAGGAGCAGAAGGGCCAGCAGGCAGGACGGGTGGAGACTAGGGTGCACCAAGAGCTTGGCCCGCAGGTGCCACAAGAACAATAGCAGAGCTGCGACCAGAGCCAAGATCAGACAGGGCAGTGGCAAGTCGCACAGCAGCTGTGTGGCCCATGCAGGGAGCCGCTCCTGCCGCTGCCCATCGGCCTTGATGAAGAGCAGCCCGGCCCAGGCACCACCGGCCCCCAGCAGGTGCAGCAGGCCCAGTAGTCTGGCCTTGGTGCTGGTCAGGCGGCAGCAGGGCAGCTTCTGAAATCGATCTGGGGAAGAACGGACTTACTTTCTTCCCTTTTCATCCCTTCTGTGGTCCCTTAAGAGCCAAGTGGCAATCGCTTGGGGAAAAGGTAAGGGGGGGGTGAAGAAATCTTTCTCCTCCCCCCATAAGCGCTCCCAACATCAGCTGGCCACGCCCCCCATCTGGTTGACAATCCTGCCGCTAGGGCTTTCTTTGGGGGGAGGACTTACTTTTGGAGAATCATTGTAGTATGGGAAGCTGAGTGGGTGGTTAGTTTTTGCATTACCTAGTAATGTTATTATAACTTGGTAAATAGCATAGTCTCTCTGTAATAGCTTTAATAATACATATTTTGAAGAATACATAGATCTTCTAGTGAGCTATTTACTACAGTGTTCTATTCTCATTAGTAGATGGTACAGAGCAAATCAAAGTAAATTAATGTTTAAGGTGTCAGAGGTTGTGTCTCTCATTAGATATAACTTGATAAAAGAAAGTGTTTAAAATATCCTAATAAAGTTTTCATAAAATTCATCTGAAATCATTTTTATCAACAATAATTTAGGATAACAAGGCTGATGTCATTCTAAAATACAATGCAGATGAAGCCAGAAGCCTGAAGGCATATGGAGAACTTCCAGAGCATGGTAAGAAATTCTCATTATTGCCCAGGTCACTGTGAATAAAGGACACACATACACTTAGCCTCTTACTCAAAAACATTTTCAAAAATATATTCATGGTTTGTGTTTTCATTTGTACATAGCCAAAATTAATGAAACCGATACATTTGGGCCTGGTGATGATGATGAAATCCAGTTTGATGATATCGGGGATGATGATGAAGATATTGATGATGTAAGTAATCAGAAAGATTTCATTTTAAAATTAACATGTCTGTTTCAAAGAGAATGTATATTCATAATTTTCATCCTCAGCTTTGTTATATCTTACCTTGAGATCTAGCAGGGATATAGTGAAAATTCTCTGAACTTTGGAAGGTAGGCTTCTCATTGAAAAAGATCTGCCCTATGTAATATGCTAGCACAGAATTAAGGGGTTCTTGAAACAGAGTACTATAGGTTTTATAGTAATATGCTACAATTTTTGTCCCTATAGTATAGAATGACAGTGTTTGAAAAATTGAGATTCAGTTTCAGCTCCTGGAGGACCATAGAAGGTTGAAGGTGGTGCTATTATATCACTAGGAGGAATGCTGTTGATATTTTTCTAAACATATGTTCATATTTTGGCAGAGAATTAGAATTGGTGACTTATGAGTAGCAAACCTTCATCACACCCATCACACCCTCCTCAAAAGTTCTGTAGTGCATGGCTGAAATTTAGCCATTTTCCACCAGATGTTGCACCACATGAAACTTATAGGATGTTATCCTTGCTTATGATAGTAACAAATTAGGATTTATTTATTTTTTTACTTAGCATGAAATAGACATGAAAGGCAGACAGTGGTAACTCCTGCTCAGAATTAGGGCTGACCTTTTTTCCTTGCAGTTCAATTTGATTTCATGTGGATTGCCAGAAACCTTATCTAAGCACTTCCCATGGTGAGGAGATGAGATTGTCAAGTTCCAGTCATTTAATGCATTAAAAAGCAGTTTTGTTCCTAGTATTTAAATAGATTTCTGAAAGATTGAGCAAAATTGCTTACATGTAAATACTATAGTGATTCATTATACTTCAGTATTACAAAAATTGAGACTTTTTATAAATCCTTAACTGTCCTAATGATACAGAGGTTAATGCTTTTTTCAGACATTGAGATCAAATTAATATGGGGAACATCATAAAAAGTAGTTAAATTATATGTGTGTTGCACACAGTTGAATTACATGATGCCTGAACAGTCATGTATTATAACTACTTTCATTTGGTGTCCTTTGTTGAGGTACTAGAGGTTTTTGTTTTGTTATTAGCCATCAGTTACCCAGATTTCGTGTAAAATGGATAGCCATATACATTTTCTAAATAAAATAATAAATGAGAACAATTTCAGTTTGAGTAGAGTAGTTCAGAATACAACACATTAAGTTTATTTACTAGATAGTATTGCCTATCTGTTCTAATCTGAGCAATTGTACTTTAATTGCAACATTTTAACATTTTTTTCATACTTGCAGATCTAAATGGAACTGAGAGGAATACATTCCAACTTTCCACCTCAATTATTTTGTTTTCAAATCTTTATGCCTAAGAAGACTGAAACTGCACAACATTTGTAGTTACAGCATATCAATATGTACCCAATGTTTAAGTATTTATATTTCTTTAAAAACAGAAGTTGGACTCATAAAAGTTAAATGAAATAATATGGCTATTTTTATCTCTACAATAGACTCTTACATCTGTATGTAAATACACATACTATAAATTTCACACTGGTTTATCTGTTTTCATCAATAAATGTCACTAAGACATATTTTTGAAATAAAAAATATCACCCTATAATTATCAAGAATTTTGATTAAATACCAATTCAGGTTAGTATTCAGTTGGCAGATGTAGTGTAGTTTCCTAGTATCCCTTGACAACAAAGAAGAATTCTAACAACTGTTAATCCCTGAATCTGCTTTATAAGCTTTAGTTGCATATTATTTTTATACAGTATTTAATCATTGTTTCCTTTTCATAGATAATATTTCTAGAGTGGAGAAAAAATAGATTTCAAAAAATTATGTATGTTTGAACAGCTAGTTTGTATTGGTAGTGATAATATTGAAATTAATTTCTGGGTGGCATCAAATTTAAGGTATTCATTACTTTAACAGACATACACTTGCCACATAACCAATTAAAAATATTTTGCCCTTATGAAATTAAATATTTCTGTTAATATATATATTTTGCTGGATACAGTGTTTCCATGGGTTGCTTCAACTGGAAAGATTAGGGAGAGTTTGGCTTAGCAGATTCCCCCTTTCCTGAAAATTGCTGTAATGATTTAGGAGAGAATGTGCACATATGGCAGGAGGGAGGGGAAAGCCTATATTTACTATAATAACAAGAATTGATGCTATTTGTGGAAGGGCAAGCTTAGATTCAATTCAGTTAAATAGGTTCTTTAGAAAGATTTCATTTTAGTTTTAGATTGAGTCTATTATGAGGTACAATTTGATAAGCAATTTTGTATGCTCTTTATCAGTATATGTAAATATGACATTCTGAAAACTTAAATCTGAACCATCAAAGAGACAAATGAATTGTTTGAGTTTGATTAGAAGTAAAGACCTAAACTTTCGGCAAAGATTAATAGTCATATTTATACATACATTGGATTTGGTTGTCCTTAGTATTCTGTTCTGTGTTTTCTGACTAATATATTGACTGCAACAGTTTACATAATGAAAATTATGTTCAGAAGCTTAGTGGTTTTTTTAACAGAGATGACAATTATTCAGAAATCTGAGTTCTGAATATCACATGCATTTTGTTGCGTTTGATTGCAACTGCATTATATAGATTGTTCACAAATCATGCTGAGCTGTATAATTTAACATTGCTTATCTTGCTGTCTGAACACAGACAAATATAGTTTATTTAACAAATCATGGGTAAACAAGCTTTGCATGCTAGACAAATACAACCTTGTATTACTATTCAGTTACCCATGAAACGTTGAATTCTCAAGTTGAGGGCTCTTGACAAGTACTGAAGTTCCTACACTGCTTGCCACTTTTGCTATTGAATCATACCAAATTTGCTATCAGATGATATCAAATGCTTCATGTTGACATGGCTTTTATCATGCTGCAAATGTGCGGAAAAAAGATTTTTTAAAACCACCAAGCCGGTCTGCTCTACTGTACTCTGTAAATGTATAGTGTCAATTAGTTTTCTGATCTTTAAATAATATAAAAGGGTTTGGGATGAGAATCTATTTGGAGCTTAACGACAGATAAAAAATGCAAATATTTACATTTCCTTGAATAAAAGAAACAAAACCAGAAATGCTTGGATGGAAGAAAATAGTAGATATAGAAATACTGAAAATCTTACCACTAGTAATGTTTCTATTAATGCCAAAATTAAAGATGCATTGAATGGTTTGATTTATATATAAATTTATTTTTTAACAGCATCATTTATATTAGTTTAATTCTGTTTGCTCTGACTGCAGGTCTAAATATTAAAAACTAAGATACCTATATAGGTTTAGACACGGGAATTTAGCTTTGGAATAGCAGTAAAAAGGCAGATACTTTTGCAGTTGTGTTTCTTAAAGATATGCTTATCTGACTATTCATCTAAGGATCTTGGGTCAGGTGGGATGTTTACTTTATCTTCACAGCAACATGAATGATATATGACAAAATATGGTTTGTTAAGATCTCCCAGTGAACTGCAATTACATTACCAATGTTTCTCAGAATATATTTTTCAAACATAAATTGCATAATGTTATTAAGTTTGTTAATTTAAAGGTTTTCTGAAACTGGTGCTGCTGAATCTCTTTGTCCGAATGAATATGAAACTTTCTCAGTACATAAGATATAAATTTTGTTCATGTAATAGTATTCTTGCCCTTAAATATCAACTGTTTTCTTAAAAACTGATGCCATGTAACAATATAGTGTGCTGATCATTTGTATTTGAAAAATATGTACTTAAAGGTTGTTTATGATAGCTTAATTAAACAGGCATGTAACTCCATTATATTCAGCAGAATTGACTGAAACCAGGTTACAGTATATATTGTTCCTTTGTGACATTTCAACTCCCAATCTCATTGAAAAATAGTCCTAACAATAGTAATGTTTTCTATTACATTCAGTTATCTTTTTTCATGGTTTAATCAATGAAGAAAGCATTCATACACCAGGTGCTTCAGTCTCTAATTCTAGTCCCAGATCAGTACAAACTGTTTTTTGCAAATGAATTACATAAATAATTGAAAAGCAGATTTAAATTGGTATACTGTAGTAGATTTAAATATTTAGTCTAATTGTTTGGGGATGAGAAGATCCAACAATAGTATTTATAGTAAAGAATTGGTTTAAGTTTTATACATTTGGGAATTTTAACTTTCATTGCCTTTTTTCAGAGAATAAACAATATTTTCTTTTCAGATGCCCATCTATCTTAGTTTCTGCCCCTCTCCATACCTTGTATTTCAATGAGGGCAGTTTAAGATGGAATTTTATGCAGGCTTTTTGCAATTATGAATGAAATACTTGTCACCACAGATGGCATCAAAGAGCTGATCTCCAACACAAACAAAAATGTGCCTGGACAAGATTAATATTGAATAAATAATTCAGCCTGGGACTACAGGCTAAGCTAGAAGAGGGGGACTGGATCTTGGATGAAGGCAATGGCAAGGCAATATAGGCAAAAAATATATAGGTAATACCTATATTGTTACCAAAAAAAATCCCCTATTTGGAACTACCGTATCTAGATGGTCACTAGGAGTCAAGCTTTGCTTTTTGATTAGATTCCCAAACTAAATCTGAAACATCATTCCCACTTGCAAAAAACTATGTTATGCAGACCTAGAATATATTCTAAGATAATAAATTGCATTCAATTGCATTGATTGAAAGGTAAATCAATATATAAGAATAAGTACAATTATAACAGTTTGGGGATAATTTATTTAAATCAATAGTTATATAAAAGTCTAGTGTATTTCTTATTTCCTGTCAAACTTAATACTTTAAAGTAGAAGCATTTAAGACCCTAATTAGAGGTATGACTGGTTAAGGTGAAAATGAACTGTTGTGTTGAATGCTACCAGATGCAGATGAATGCTATTCAGTGGTCACCATATTTCAACTCTGGACAAGCTGATAATGGATTTTCAAGCAATATCCCTAGTATCTTAATTAAAATGAATCATTCCTCATAAAATAGGAAATAATCTACATATTGGTGAAATTGAACATGAAGAATTGAAGTTAAACTCAACAATTCCTAATTCTAAAATTCTGATTCGTACTTGCATTACTTCTATTTCTTGGTTAAAATTTATTTCTAGTCCAATAATTAGAAGATCTGATCTTTGTTTCAAACCAGTTTTTTTTTTAAGGTAAACCATGGTTATGTATGTTTCAGGTGTGCAAAGCTGCTGTTCAATGGGTTTGCTTTTGCATTGCTGTAGAATGTAGATGTTGATACTCCCATATACAGGTGAAACTTGAAAAATTAGAATATCGTGCAAAAGTTCATTTATTTCAGTAATGCAACTTAAAAGGTGAACCTAATATATGACTCATTACATGCAAAGCAAAATAGTTCAAGCCGTGATGTGTCATAAGTGAGATGATTATGCCTTACAGCTCATGAAAACCCCAAATCCACAATCTCAGAAAATTAGAATATTACATGCAATCAATAAAACAAGGATTGTAATAGAACAATATTGGACCTCTGAAAAGTATAAGCATGTATATGTACTCAGTACTTGGTTTGGGTCCCTTTTGCAGCAATTACTGCCTCAATGCGGCGTGGCATGGAAGCTATCAGCCTGTGGCACTGCTCAGGTGTTATGGAAGACCAGGATGCTTCAATAGTGGCCTTCAGCTCTTCTGCATTGTTCGGTCTCATGTCTCTCATCTTTCTCTTGGCAATGCCCCATAGATGCTCTATGGGTTTCAGGTCAATCAAGCACAGTAATCCCACGGTCATTGAACCAGGTTTTGGTGCTTTTGGCAGTGTGTGCCTCTCCATTCTTCCTCCAGACTCTGGGTCCTTGGTTCCCAAATAAGATGCAAAAATTGCTCTCATCAAAAAAGAGGACTTTGGACCACTGAGCAACAGACCAGTTCTGTTTTTCTTTAGCCCAGGTAAGACAATTCTGACATTGTTGTTCAGGAGCAGCTTGACAAGAGGAATGCCACATTTGAAGCCCACGTCCAGGATCCATCTGTGTGTGGTAGCTCTTGATGCACTGACTCCAGCTTCAGTCCACTCCTTGTGAAAATCCCAACACTTTTGAATAGCCTTTTCCTGACAATCCTCTCCAGGCTGCGGTCATCCCTGCTGCTTGTGCACCTTTTTCTTCCACACTTTTCCCTTCCACATAACTTTTTATTAATGTGCTTTGATACAGCACTTTGGGAACATCCAACTTCTTTTGCAATTACCTTTTGAGGCTTTTCCTCCTTATGAAGGGTGTCAATGATGGTTTTCTGCACAACTGTCAGGTCAGCAGTCTTTCCCATGATTGTGATTCCTACTGAACCAGACTGAGAGACCATTTAAAGACTCAGGAACCCTTTGCAGGTGTTAGCTGATTAGAGTGGGACACTTTGAGCCTAGAATATTGAACCTTTTCACAATATTCTAATTTTCTGAGATCGTAATTACATCATCAGTTTATTACATTTTTGCCTTTAAATGCATTACCCAATCACAACAGGAACATATATATTGACTTAAAAGTATTTTACTTACATTGGATAAAAAAGACTTTTGGATCAGCAGTTTTGGATAAAGAAGAAAGAAGTATGGGAAACTTACCCTAATATCATAAGAATTACTGCCAATATCCTAAATATACATGTCCTGAAAAAATTAAAGACCTGTGGCACTCCTGATACAGATGTGAGGAACAAGTGCTCAGCATAATGCTAAGAACAATGTTTTTATCCATATGATTTCCCTGTTGGGACAATCAAATCACAGGCTTTAATATTCATGTAGAAAAATGTATTCTGACAGTTGCTAGCTACTAGATTTTTCAAAGAAATGCCTTTTGCTCATTGTCACTCAAGGGAAATGGAGGAGATTGCAGATTCAGCAGGATTTAACAATTTAGTACACTGAACTGTGCTGCTCAAATAACAGATTGTTTTTATAATAAAACCTACATATGGAGATAATAGTCATTCTGTTGAGATTGTCCCCATCTCTTTTTCTTAATTTCTACCCTGATAAAGTGGTTTTGATAAAATCTGACTCGCTTTCTAATGAGCTATAATAAAAAATGCTCTCTAGCAGATAGGAGAAACAAACAGCATAGCTTCGATATTTTGATGTTTAAATCATTTGAAGATTCTGACTGCAAGAGGATTCCTAAATATGAAGCATTTTAGTAACCCAACTAGTAAGATGTTAAAATACAGGTAGTCCTCAACTTACGACCACAATTGAGCTCAAAATTGATTTTGCTTAGTGAGAAATTTGTTAAGTGAGTTTTGCCCCATTTTACGACTTTCCTTGCCACATTTGCTAAGTGAATCACTGCAGTTGTTAAATTAGTAACACAATTTTTAAGTAAATCTGGTTTCTCCATTGACTTTGCTTGCTGGAAGTAACAAAAGATGATCAATATTAAAATTATAGACTGATCATTTCTTTGTCAGTGGGCAAATGTACAAAATCAGCAGGGGATCAAATATTTTTTTCTAAGCTTTTTCTAAGGTCAGCATAAATATCTGCTTTTCCATTTCCATGTAGGCTCTAATCTGTGTTGAATGATCCTAAACATTATTTTGCTAATATATGAAATTAAGGATATTGATGGTTTGCATACTCTTGTTAAATTTCCTTTTTTGGGGTATTAGTAGTAGACTGACCTACAAACTACAGGCTTAGTAGTGATCAAGTGCTAATTTAATATCCTTTTACAGAATAATAGGAGGTCTTCTAATCCACCCCCCTGCTCAAGCAGGAGACCCTATATCATTTCGGACAAATGTTGTCCAATATCCTCTTTAAAACCTCCAACGATGGAGCACCCACAACTTCTAGAGGAAGGCCATTCCACATTAATTGTTCTCACTGAAAAAATTTCTCCATAATTCTAGGTTGGATCACTCTTTGATAATCTTTTCCCCATCACTTCTTGTCTTGCTTCAGGGAAAGTAAGTCGATCCCCTCTTTCCTGTGACAGCCCTTCAAATATCAGAAGATTGCTATCATGTCACCCCTAGTCATTCTCTTTGTTAGACTAGACATATCCAGTTCCTGCAACCATTCACTGTATGCTTTAGCCTTCAGTCTCTAATCATCTTTGTTGCTCTTCTCTATACTTTCTAGAGTCTTAATATCATTTTTGTATCATAGTGACCAAAACTGGATGCAGTATTCCAAGTGTGGTTTTACCAATGCAGTATAAAGCAGTACTAGCACTTTACGTATTCTTGATACTACCCCTCTGTTGATGCAGCCTAGAATTGCATTGGCTTTTTTGGCACTTGCAACATATTGCTGGCTCATACTTAAATGATTGTATACTAGGACTCTTAGATCCCTCTTACAGTTATTGTTGTAGAGTCAGATATCATCTATTCCAGTGGTTCTCAACCTTTTTAATGCCATGACCCCCCCCCAACCGGTCATAAGTCGAGGACTAAACCGGTTGTAAGTTGAGGACTAAACCGGTCATAAGTAGAGGACTTTTCCCATGCGTGGTGCCGCCCCCTGCAGACAGAGACAGAGCAGGCTGACCACCAGCTGGGCCACCAGCTGGGCCAGCCCAAGGAAGGTAAGGCACCTGCCGGAAAAGGGGAAAAAATGGCAGACAGCCTTGCTTGGCGACCCCCATGAAATGGTCGATCGACCCCAAATGGGGTCGCGACCCATAGGTTGAGAACCACTGATCTATTCTATACCTGTGTAATGCCTTTTCTCAACGCTAATTGCATTTTGTTCGACAGGGCCCTGTGTTCAAGTCTATCAAGATTCTTCTGAATCTTTAGCCTTCAGGGTGTGGGGCTATTCCCCCAAACTTGGTGTCATCTGCAAATTTGATGAGTTCCCCTTCTATTCCTTCTTCTAAATTGTTTATGAAGATGTTGAAGAGTACTGGGTCCAAGACAGAACCTTGGGGTACCCCACCGCATACTTCCCTCCATGCAGATGTAATTCCATTGTGGACTATACTCAACATTGTAGTCAGTTACAAATCTATCTGGTGGTAATGCTGTCTATCTCATATTTTTCTATGTTACCAAGAAGTAGTAAAATAAAAATAAAAAATAAAATAAATAAGTAGTCTGTGGTCTATTTTATCAACTGCTTTACTTAAAACTATGTAAACTATGTCCACAGTATGTCCTCTGGTCTACTTATTTAGTCACTTTGTCAAAGAAGGCAATAAGTTTTTGTTATACTCACAAACTAACCAAGAACATTTTGACTTTCCAAATTGTGTGAATTCAATCCATTTAGTTGGTTTCATTTATCACAGTCCTAATTTGTCAACTAAACACATCATGGTTCAGCTAATAGTCTACATTGGATAAATGTGTAGTGCAGATACCCTAATGTGCACTTAGCTGTGGGAACAAGAATAGAAAGGTGAACAGTATAGAATTATTTAAGTTTGTGTATTAGAAAAAAGGTAGATTAATAGAATGTAAGTAAATAATATGAATCTATCATATCAGTGAAAACTGTAATAATCATTTTGGAGTTGTGGTGAGAAGGAACGAGATGGGATGGCAGCCTACACTTGTTCTTGTGCAAGATCCTTAGTTATAAACAGTGGTGGGATTCAAATATGTGAACAACCAATTCTCTGTGTGAATGCCACTTCAGGAAGTCCATTTTGGGCCTGGGCAACAAAAAGTTAACTACTGGTTCTGCCGAAGTGGTGCGAACCGGCTGAATCCCACCGATTATAAACTTTAATTCTATCATAGAGGCAAAATATTTCCCCAGCATTATTCCTGCTTGTTTTTTTTTCCTGGATAATTCCCAATAGCTTACAAATATTCAACTGGAGATTTAGGAGTTTATCAGAGCTCCTGAGACATCAGGATCCCTAGAAAACTAGGGTTCAGATAGTTTACCTTTCTATAAGATTGGAGGATTTATCTCTGCTTCTGTGAACTTTTTTTTTCCTGTTAACTTCCTTAATGCTTTAGGGTACCTATCTGAAGCTCCTATTTCTTGCTGTCCTTTTTTCCACTGTATCCCTGTATTCTTCCTCGTATCTCAAAAGAAAGCCTATAAAGTCGGACTGGGAGAAACTCTTCGGGGGCTTTTGTCAAATAAACTTCACTACAATGATCCGAGGGAGAGCATATGGTGAATTTGCACTTTGGTTTGAAAAAATACAAACATATGGGAGAAAATGTACTGCCCGAACTCGTTTCTCGTCCGCGTGGTTTAGTTTAATTCTCCCGTTAATTGACAGGAGTGCTTAACGTAAATCTGGAAATTCAGCCAACCACCCTGAAGCAACCGTTTGCGTTTTGCTCTCTGCCTCCCAGAGTAGCAGCTTTGCTTTCGGGACCAGGGGCAACCGTCACGAATCCTTTTTGGCGCGCACTCGCGATCAGGCTGCCGAACAGGCGCTGGTGCCTGGGGCAAAAAGAAGAAAGTAAGGGAGCACGAGCAGGTTGCCACACGTTAATCAAAAGGTAGCAAGAGCCGCGGAGAGAAGGAATGTACACCTGGAAAGTGCCAGAAGCTACGCGGCCGCTGAGGCTCCCTAGTTTTCAGCAATTGCTCTCTCAACACCCACCGACTGTATCAGTCTCCAGCCTCTCCAATTCTCTAACCACGCGTCAGGTGTAGTGCCGAAACGAAGTGCGCCTGTGCGGTGGTGGCCGCGCAGTAGCAGCAGGAGTAATACTACATTATTATCGGTTACGGTGCTTTAAGCGCGGTCCCAGGCGGCTGGGAAGAAAAGTAAGCAGCAGTATCTAGGGTGCCGGAGGAGGAAAATGGCGGAGCCGGGGACACCCCGAACGTCTCCCTTGTATTCGCGGGCTTCAGGTAGGGGCGAAGGACTAGATGACACGATCTTCTGTGGGTGTGGTTTGTAAGCGAAGGCACCTACTTTGTGGAGAAGCCTGCTGCCTGGGACCTCCTGGTCTTTTCTCCGTCGCCGCTCTGGGTTCCCTCGGAGCAGGTGTCCTTCCGTTCTTGGTGCCCAAATTGTAGCCGCAACCCGGTGTTCCTATTGTTCGGTTCCAGACAAGCCCCATAAAGAGCCGCTGTGTAGTAGCGAGATTTGCGAGGGTGGGTGTGTGCAGTGGCATTTGGCAGGCGGGTTCGTTGGAAATGGTTACGTGGAGAAAACTGGGACGGCGCCAAACAGCCTTGGGAAGGTTGGGGAATGGAAGGTTGAATGCACTCCAACACTGATGAATGGAGGCCTTGCGGGAGGTGGAGGTGAGGACCGAAGAAGCAGAGGGCTATTTTATTCCTAGTCTTCGGAGATATTAACTAACCTAGGAATAAGTGGGGCAGTAAAAAATAGGAAGAACAATCAATATTCGGGTGGTGGGTCTTTTTCGTCCAAACACCGGTCAGTTTTTTTTTAATTTTTTTTATGTATATTTTATTAATTTTTTACAGTTTGTACTTTTCATCTTTTCTCTCCATTCCTTTGATTTTTGGATCCTGTCTAACATTCCTATTCAACACTTCCAGAGTTAAGATAAATAATAGTGCAGATAAAGGACATCCTTGTCTTGTGCCCTTTTTAATATTGAAACTCTCCATGAAATCTCCATTCACAATTGTTGTGGCCATTTGTCTATGATAAATTGTTTGAATTATATTCATAAAATTTTCTCCCAAGTCCATGTAGTTTAGTTGTTGAACCATAAATTGCCAATTGACATTGTCAAAAGCTTTCTGTGCATCTAAAAAGATCAAAGCCATTTGTTTTCCTTGGTGCATTTCGTAATATTCCAGTGTGTCTAAAATCATTCTTAAATTATTCTTTATTTGTCTCTTTGGTAAAAATCAATTTTGGACTGAATGTATAAATTCAATCAAGAATCTCTTTAGTCTTTCTGCTATTATTGAAGCAAAGATTTTATAATCCACATTTAGTAGAGATATTGGTCTGTAGTTCTTTATCAGAGTCAAATCTGAGTCTTCTTTGGATATTAAGGTAATATTGGCATCTATCCATGTATTTGGTAGTTTGGCTTTTAGTAATACCTCATTACACACTTCTTGCATTGGTAAGATTAATGTATCTTGCAAAGATTTGTAAAATTCTGCTGGTAGCCCATCTGGTAAGCCTGGTGTCTTACCATTTATTTTTTTTTGTCTTTTTATAGCTTTTGTCAACTCCATCACTGTTATTTTCCCATTTAGCATATTTTTGAAATTCTCAGAGATTTTTGGTGGCTTAGCATTTTCTAGGTATTGCCTTATTTTTTCCTGTGGAATTTCTTCTGTACTATAAAGTGTTTCATAAAATTCTTTAATTATTTTTTGTTGCATCATTTTGACATTGTAGATTGCCTCTCACCTCTTGTAGTTTGTTTATCAATTTCTTCTTTTTTTCTTTTTTCAGTTAATAAGCCAACCATCTCCCCGTCTTATTAGCATTTTTAAAAAAGTTTTGTTTTCCTCTTTTGATTTGTTGAGCCATTTCTTCAGCTTCTATTAGATTTATTTGTGTTTTATTATCTCCATTTGTTTTTTAAGAGTTTTCTTTTGTGATCTCTTTGTAGTTCTAATTCTAGTTTTGTAAGTTCTTTTGTAAGCTTAGTTTGTTGTTTTTTGTCTTTCATCTTTTTCACCATGTAAGTTATGGCTACTCCGCTAAAATATGCTTTAGCTGTATCTAATGGTGGGATTCAAATATGTGAACAACCGGTTCTCTCTGTGGATGCCGCTTCCAGAAGTCCATTCTGGGCCTGGGCAACAAAAAATTAGCTACGGGTTCTGCCAAAGTGTTACGAACTGGCTGAATCTCACCACTGGCTGTATCCCAAATATTTTGGAGTGATGTATCTTCTTTCTTATTTTCTTTGAAGAAAAATTCCATTTCCTTTACGGATTTTTGTATAAATTCTTTCTCTTTCAATAAGAATTGGTTTAAAGTCCATCTTGCTTTTTTCTTTGTTTCTCTCCAGATCATCTTTATTGAATTATGGTCCGCCCATACGTTAGTTTCTATCCCGATTTCTTGTATATCCCTTCTTAATTCAGGAAATATCCATATCATGTCAATTCTAGACCATGATTTGTGGCTGTTTGAATAAAATGTATATTGAGATGTCTTAGGATTTATTTCTCATATCCTGTATACAAATTTCTTCTGCCATTCTGAAAAAAACCTTAGGCAAAATATTTCTTCCTTTTTTCCCTATTTTACTACTCCTATAATCTAACTTTCCATCTATAATTGTGTTAAAATCTCCTACTAAACAAATATTTTGGTATTCCATTTCCACTATTTTCTTGTGTAATCTTTGATCCAGTCAGACTTTTTTTTAATTCATCAGACAAGGACTTAGAAAATGCTAGGAAGAGATTCCTTTGGCAGAAGGGAAAGTGAAATACATCCTATATTCTAAACTGTAATGGTTTGCTTTCCCCTGTGCCTCTACAACCAGGTTTTGTTTGACATTGACTGTCATGGGTAGGAGCAGGAACTAGTATCTTTAGGGAAGTTAAGGTTAATCCAGACAGGATGAGGGAAGGAGAATAATGAACAGGTACCACCAGATGAGGGGTATACACACATACTGGGGAGAAGAGAAAAGCTCCGATATACCCCGTTGATGACACCTGGCCAGACAAACGAGGGCACCCGCTAATGAGGAAGGTAGCAAATGGGAGGCAAAAGCACCTGGACACCCCCCTGGATGATTATATATGCAAGGGAGGGACAATAGAACTTAAGAATGGGGGAAATGCACTGAAGGCGTGCCTTGTGAATGACTCGGCAATAGAACTATGGCCCCGATCAACAGGAGAACAGGCAAGTAATAGCGAATGCAAATGGGATGGGTATCTCCTGTGCTCTCACATATGTACCCAGGGGGCAATGAGGGTAACAAGCAGTGGAGCCATTCCAAAGGCACACCTGGTTAGCAACCCATTAACACATACAGGAGCTCACCCGTTAGCGAGACAAAAACGGGAGGGTGATAAGAAACAGGAACAACGAGACAACCAACCCCCAGGAGTTTTCACACGGACAAGGAAAGCAATAAGGCTGGCAAATAGAAGAACAGAGCTTGAAGCACACATGCTAGATAGCACAGCAATACAGAGGCAAACTAAGATGAATGAGGGGGTGGGGAGAGATGACTGTGAGCAGATGAAGAGCGGATCTCTAGGCACCCGCACACACACAAAGAAAACAACAGCAATTGGAGAGGAGAGGACAACTTTAGAAACGGCCCCTTTAAGAACTACACAGCCGATGCTAAGGAGTTAACCAATGACCCAATCTAGGGTCAAAGCGCAGAGGCAGCCAGCCACATAAAAATGGACTCCCACATCCAGCATTTTATACCCTGACGATGTCGGTAGTATGGCCAACGAAAGCTTGGTTTTGTAGATTAAACATTTGTGTTTATGATTTTATCCTGGTGATCACTTTATTTTATTTCACGTTATATATATTTGTTTTCGTAGATTTTCACGGGTATAGGTATGCAGGTTTTGGTATATTCAGGTCTTTTCTCATGTAAGATTGAGAGTATCTTGGCGACGTTTCGATGAGGTCCCACTCGTCATCTTCAGGCTGGGGTCTTGTGTGTGTGTGTGTGTATGTGTGTGTGTGTGTGTACACATACATACATACACACATACATACTACATACATACATACATACATGTATAAATATATTCAATTTCATTGGAAGGCATGAGTACACCATGCCTCTGTGCATGGCTTTCATTGACTTTCATTGAGTCAAAGGCATTTGACTCTATTCCAGCAAGCAATAATTAATGCGTTACTCAACTAAGGCATAGACACTGCTTACATAAACTTGCTATAATCAATATATGAAAAAGCAACAATTTGTCTTAATCTTTTTTTTATAAATATTTTATTAATTTTCTATTTTTACAATCAAGTGCCTAATAGACAATGTGATGACTGAGACCATTAGTAATTCCGTGGTACATGTAAGCTTCTTCAAACTAAATTCAATATTACACCCTCCAATACATCCATTCTTCTTGTGGTAATAAACATTTTTCCACACTAAGCAAATATAATTCTTATTGTTGTTAGTAAATAAACAGTTGCATATCAACATTTATTAGATTTTTCTAATAGTGTCAATATCAGTTTAGAATATCTTTTCTAATCAAAACATATCTTAATTACATTTGCACTCAGGGCACAGCACAGAGGCAAAACAGTCCACTGGCAGTTCAAACTGCCCTTTATTTGCTCCAAAGTTTCCCCAAATGCTCCCATGTTTCTGGCAAGCCACAGAACAAAGTAAGACACACATACAGCTTCAGCAGCCTCCAGCTGCAAGTAGTTTCACAAGTTTTTAACTCTTCAGGAAGGGAAAGTGTGTATGGAACAAGCCATCCTCCTTCAGATTTCAACTTATACAGTTAGATTAGAAGAGTAATTTACTTAAGGCCACGTAGATAACAAGGAAAGAAAAATACATCCAAAATTTAATGAGTCTGTGGAAATACAAGCTTGCCTGAGCAGTTTCAAAAGAGAAGTCAAAATTCAGTCTGAGGTCTTTGAACACCAAATCAAGTTTGTCAGCCAGTCCAGTGGTCAGAGTTTCAGGGTTTCCAAGCAGAAATCACAACACAGAACAAGAGATCAGAGAGTTGTTTCCAAGATCAGCAACAGCACACAAAACTCCAAGCATTCAGCGTTTGTTTCCAAAAAATGTCCCTTCCCACAGCATCTCCTTAAGTCTCAGTCTCCAGGTGTGCCTTGTGGAGAGGGGCAGGGCGCTCTCTTCCCAAGTAGTTGAGAATTCCCTCCTTCTCTCTACTCTCCATGCTCTAGGATCAGGAGGGGGTGGCTCTTGCTCATCACCAGAGCTCTGTCTCTCATGTTCATCCTGTCCAATCCTGAAAGGCCCTGGCGTGCCTCAGCCTGCTCTTCCCCACATTCCTCTGAAGCCACAGACATCTCTCCCTTGACCTCGGTCAGCTTCAGTTCCACCTCATTTTCCTCAGCAGATTCAGGCTCCGACAGGGGCATGACAATCCATTTATTCAGTCCATATTCTATTTTTGCTTGTTTCAATTTAAATTTCCCATCCACGTTCAAAATATCCCTATCATTTATAATTTTAAAACAAGTTATATTTGGGTAACCAAAAGCTTCCCTTATTCAAAGTTCTTAACATATTCTTATTTCCCTTTTCATATCAAGATATGATATCGTGATTACAAATCCTATCTATCTAATTATAATAATATTTCTATTTCTACCAATCTATTCTTAAGCATATTCAAAGATCTAATTAGTAATATAACATTCCCTCTAATAGGTCAATGCTTCTGTTTCCTTCAGTCTTACTCTAGCTTTCTTTCTTTGCCAACTAATTTTCCAAGTCAGTGCATTTGGATCATCAAATAATTCTTCCTCTATTTTTGTGTATGTTATTTGAAACAAGAGAAACAATTTAGTTAAAGTATTTTTGGAAGAAGTAGCCCATTGATATTCGTTAAACAGCCTCCCTCCTTTTCCAGTTCCCCACAGTTCTGTTAACGGCTTTATCTTCCATTCCATCAGCTCTCCTTTCTTATCCTTCAGTATGTTCTGAAATCTTGGTTTGTAGAATGTCTTTTCCATTTCCAATGTTAACGTTGTGTTTTCTAAGTCTTCATTTGTCTGAGTCTGGTCATTAGTTTCTTCCTTTAGATCCTCCATATTTGGGTCAGCATTCTCTAGTTTTCCTTCTATTTTCTGGGTTGCTATTTCCTTCTCTGTAGTTATTTTCTGAATTTGTGGATTTAAATTAGAAAATTGTTCGTTAACCGCCCCTTTGAGGAAAGCACTAACTGCCAGATGTTGCGACAAAGGAACCAAGTTGTCACAGGTAAGGACCGTTGATAGGGCCGCGACCTG